TATTGTAATCATCAAAGGAAGTTGGGAAGCAATACTTCCGTGTTACGGACAAATAGAAAATGATAAAGGGTGGTGATCCCATAACAATACATTGCAGGGTGGTAGATCACATAACAATACATAACAATAACAATACATAACAAAAGAATAAGAAGCAGTGGAATTGACTTTGATGAAGGGTGGTGATAATGACGGGTGGTGACGAAGGGAAGTGGTGACGAAGGGAAGTGATGATGAAGGGGAGTGGTGACGAAGGGAAGTGGTGAAGAAGGGAAGTGGTGACGAAGGGAAGTGGTGACGAAGGGAAGTGGTGACGAAGGGAAGTGGTGACGAAGGGAAGGGGTGACGAAGGGAAGTGGTGACGAAGGGAAGTGGTGACGAAGGGAAGTGGTGACGAAGGGAAGTGGTGACGAAGGGAAGTGGTGACGATGGGAAGTGGTGAGGAAGGGAAGTAGTGAGGAAGGGAAGCGGTGACGAAGGGAGGTGGTGACGATGGGAAGTGGTGACGATCGGAAGTGGTGAGGAAGGGAAGTGGTGAGTTGGGGAGGAAGCCGGAGCACGAAACCTTGTGTTTTTCCGTGTAAAGTGGCTGCAGCCGGCGATGAAAGGTACCTCGTGTGTGCGACGGGTGCGGCTGGGGTCGGTTGGTCGTTTTTTTTTGCCGCAGTGTAACGGTGGCTTGAAGCTGCTTTGGGTGTGCTTGTGTGTGCGTAGTCATAGGGTGTTTTGGCATCTCCGGTTGCAGCTCGCATTGGAATGGCTGCATGATGTTGCATGGGCTATGTTTTGGGGAGGAAGCCGGAGCACGAACCCGTGCGTTTTTCCGTGTAAATGGCTGCAGGCGACGATGAAAGGTACCTCGTGTGTGCGACGGGTGCGGCTGGGGTCGGTTGGTCGTTTTTTTTTTGCCGCAGTGTAACGGTGGCTTGAAGCTGCTTTGGGTGTGCTTGTGTGTGCGTAGTTATAGTGTGTTTTGGATTGTTTTGGAATCTCCGGTTGCAGATCGCATTGGAATGGCTGCATGATGTTGCATGGGCTATGTTTTGGGGAGGAAGCCGGAGCACGAAACCGTGTGTTTTTCTGTGTAAAGTGGCTGCAGGCGACGATGAAAGGTACCTCGTGTGTGCGACGGGTGCGGCTGGGGTCGGTTGGTCGTTTTTTTTTTGCCGCAGTGTAACGGTGGCTTGAAGCTGCTTTGGGTGTGCTTGTGTGTGCGTAGTTATAGTGTGTTTTGGAATCTCCGGTTGCAGATCGCATTGGAATGGCTGCATGATGTTGCATGGGCTATGTTTTGGGGAGGAAGCCGGAGCACGAAACCGTGGGTTTTTCCGTGTAAAGTGGCTGCAGCCGGCGATGAAAGGTACCTCGTCTGTGCGGCGGTTGCGGCTGCGGTCGGTTTGTCGTTTTTTTTGCCGCAGTGCGTAGTTATAGGGTGTTTTGGAATCTCCGGTTGCAGATCGCATTGGAGTGGCTGCCTCAAGGTTGCTTGCCGCCTCGGCTGCATGCGTAATACTATTGTCTTTTGCAGCTGAAGATTTGTGAATCGTATTGGAGTGGCTGCATCCAGGTTGCGATAGTCATTTGTCAGCAGATTTTCGCAAATTTGGCGCTAGTAATTTTCCTTTTAAAATTCCTTTTAAAAAATGCTTCAAAATCGTCTTTTTTCTGCTTTGGCGTCGAGATCCGGTTTTGGAGTTGCGATTTCCGACGCCGTTGCGCTTAGTTCTATTGTGATTTGCAACTCAGTCTCTGCAGATCGCATTGGAGTGGCTGCCTCAAGGTTGCTCGGTGCCGCGGCTGCATGCGTAATACTATTGTCTTTTGCAGCTGAAGATTGTAAATCGTATTGGAGTGGCTGCATCCAGGTTGCGATAGTCATTTGTCAGCAGATTTTCGCAAATTTGGCGCTAGTAATTTTCCTTTTAAAATTCCTTTTAAAAAATGCTTCAAAATCGTCTTTTTTCTGCTTTGGCGTCGAGATCCGGTTTTGGAGCTGCAATTTCCGACGCCGTTGCGCTTAGTTCTATTGTGATTTGCAACTCAGTCTCTGCAGATCGCATTGGAGTGGCTGCCTCAAGGTTGCTCGGTGCCGCGGCTGCATGCGTAATACTATTGTCTTTTGCAGCTGAAGATCGTACATCGTATTGGAATGGCTGCATCAAGGCTGCGAAAGTGATTTGTCAGCAAATCTTTTTTCAATTTTGGCGCTAACAATTTTCCTTGTAAAATTCCTTTTAAAAAGCGCATCAAAATCGTCTTTTTTCTGCTTTGGCGTCGAGATCCGGTTTTGGAGCTGCAATGCCTGTGTGTAAAAGTTTGTGTGTGTAAAAGCACTGTGTGCAAGTACTGTGTGTAAGTGTTCTGTGTCTAAACGCTTGGTGTGTGTGAAAGCTTGCTGTGTGTAAAAGATGTTGTGTGTAAAAGTTTGCTGTGTGTAAAAGCTTATCTGTTCATGTGTTACAAGTGTCTCTGTGTAAAAGTTTCTGTGTGTGTGTGTAAACGCTTGCCATGTGTAAAAGCACTGTGTGTAAGTGTTCTGTGTGCAAACGCTTGCCATGTGTAAAAGCACTGTGTGCAAGTACTGTGTGTAAACGCTTGCTGTGTGTAAAAGCTTCTCTGTGTGTAAAAGCGTCTCTGTGTAAAAGTTTCTGTGTGTGTGTGTAAGCGATTTCCATGTGTAAAAGCACTGTGTGTAAGTGTTTTGTGTGTAAATGCTTGCTGTGTGTGAAAGCTTGCTGTGTGTAAAAGCTTCTCTGTGGAGTGAAGAAGTGTGGAGTGTGAAGAAAGCAATGAGAAGTGTGAAGTGTGGACTGTGACGTGTAAAGTGTGAAGTATGAAGTGTGGAGTCTGAAGAAAGCAGTGAGAAGTGTGAAGCGTGGAGTGTAAAGTGTGGAGTGTGAAGTGTGGAGTGTGAAGTGTGGAGTGAGAAGTGAGAAGTGAGAAGTGAGAAGTGTGAAGTGTGGAGTGTGAAGTTTGGAGTGCGAAGAGTGCAGTGTGAAATGTGAAGTGTGGAGTGCGAAGAGTGCAGTGTGAAGTGTGAAGTGTGGAGTGTGAAGTGCGAAGTGGAGCTTCACATGTGACATGTGAAGCAGGACACATCTTTCGCAGTGTGCACGCACGCACGGGCTTGGCTGGCGCACGGCGCATGCAAGTTCTATAGATGAGAAAGGTCTTATATATCTTTAAGGCAACTTCCGCCCCGCCTCGTGCGGGTACTACTGGTAAATATAACTATAAGCTGTTTTCTAGACCATTTGCCATAGAGCCCCTTTTCCCCAAAAGGTACTAACATGTACTAACACCTTTTTCGCCCTTTTCTACAGCAAAATATGTTGCTGTCCTACCTTAGGCTTCTCAACTTCTGCACTCATTCGGGAAATGCCCACAGGCTGCAATTTGCAGGAACGACGTCAAGAATAGGTAAAGCTTTCAGTGAAGTGAGGCCCGGGGTCAGGTTCCAACAAATCAGAACCAGTATATGTGGAGGCTTCCCTGCCTTATGGATGATGTTTCGCAGCTCTGAGACAGACTTGGAGGTCAAAGTCGACTGCGGAGCACATTGGCCTGCGACTACTGCATATGCATGACCCCTGATTGCTCCCATTTACAGTATTATATACTACATGCGTTACATGCTTTTCCCATTTAAATGCCCATTTAAATGCCGTGGATTTCCCCTTGGTTGATTTCCGGCTGGTAGCTGTACTGCTGTGCTTGGCACCTGGTGCATCTCCCTCAGCTTTGGCATTGGCGCCATCACTTGCCCTGACAGCCCATGATCCAAAAGGAAGTTGGTTGCTTGATACAAGCAGCTCACCTACTGTAGCTTGAGGGGGCCGTGTCAAATATGATCACAAGCTGCCAAAGCAGCAAAATGCAATCTAATCATACACATTCATACACATAGATGCAATCTAATCATACACATTCATACACATAGATGCAATCTAATCATACACATTCATACACATACTGTATAGTGGAGGAAAAAATACAATCTAATCATACACATTCATACACATAGATGCAATCGAATCATACACATTCATACACATACTATATAGTGGAGGAAAAGAAATCCTGGAGCTTGCAAGACTTTCAGTCGCACCTCAATTTCTGGACCAAATCCTGTTTCTCAAAGCAATCGGAGGTTGAAACGCTGCGCTGCGCTGCCAACTGCCGCAGCTCCGCCACACTCAGGCTCTCCAAGTCTTGTGTTGAAAGCCAGCGCCCCTACTGCAATGTGCCAATGTGAAAAAAAAATATATATATATATATTGTGTAGGTTGTGTAAAGCAGTGCCAGCAAAAAATGACCAGAATTCTTGCCCCATTCGGCCCATTCGTAATCCATTCGTTCCATCTATTCATTTGAGCCCTGCAAGTTGAAACCACAGAGTCCTTGGGAGCTCGGAGGAACGGAAGCGGGAGGGTCAGGAGGACACCACCGCTGCAACGGCCGGCGGCTCTCATGGCTCGCCAAAGAGACGGAGGCATGGCTACCATGGCTCTCCCAAGGGTTTTGCAAATGGTTGCAGTGATGGGACTCTGAACATTTGACATCTCGCTTGCGCTGTGAGTGCTTCCTCCCAAAGCTTTGCAAGTTTTCCTTTTCTGGTCAAGCTTGGGATTGCGCAATTCGTGAACTTGAGCTATGGGGAATCACTGTGGACTTCAAGCCAAAGGCTACCATAAACACATTCAAATTGAATGAAAAACCACCCCAGGGCGTTTGTATGTAAGGCCACTCACAACCAAAGAAACACTCAACATCACTGGACCCTCCGCAGGTTTCGGACCCGAGGCCTTTGATGCTGATGCTGCTCGAATGAAAGCTGGCACAGAAAGTACGCTGATATGTGGGAAAAAAAAACGCACACGCTCAAACACACAACACTGATCAATGCTCTACTTACACGACTGAGCTTGGGGTGACTTGCATGCAATTAGCGCGGCATCAGCTTCTTGATAGAGGAGAAATTGCTTGGCAGTGCTACTTTAGGCAAGGTATCTTCTCGCAATTGGCCGCTTTTGTGCAGGGCGAAGCTGGGATCTTTGCCCTAGAGATTCTCGCACAAAGACTTGCTTCATCTTGCAGATTGTTCACTCTAGGTGATGGATCAGCCATCCCAAGTCTTGAGCGCCAGGGTTCCAGCCAGCCATACTTTTGCCAGTCTTTTTGGAGTAGAAGAACCTCAAGTGCATCTGCCCCGGAATTCAGCCTATAGTCATACCTAGTTGTCATACTAAGTAATGTATATATATATATATGTGTGTGTGTGACATTGTATGACTATTGAACGACTATTTCAGTTTACTACATCACAGTAGTAGATGTAGTGCCCGGAATCACCAGGCCGAAACCCTGCCCAGCCTCCGTCATCGATTGAAGTGTGGAACTCTAAAGATCCATTTCTCCATGTCATAAGAGATGAATTTCCCACCAAACTCCTGTGCCAAACTACAGCATGACGTTGCACAGGCCAGGTCAGCTTCGTGATGTTTACCAGCGCAATACGAGTCAGTGAGTTCTCTTATTTGACAACTAGCCAGAACTAACTCAGATTTGCTATGTCCAAGAGAAATGCTAAGGATGATTGGGTAAATGTTGGATGATCTGCGACTCGCGAACCGTCTGGAGAGGCTTCGTGACAGCAAAGCTCCTCGGAGAGCTTTGACAAGCGTTGCTGGAGCTGTTCAAGGCTTTTGGGCTTCACGTCATTCCTCACGAACGGACAGTGGACTCCTGTCACCTAAACACGAATCCCAGAAACCAATAGAAACCGCAAGGAGCGATCTTTGTTTCCAAATGTTTCCAGTTCCTGTAATCTGAAGCTCAGCAGCCTTGTGGGTTTCACATTCAAGGTGACCACGGCTTCTTTGTTGAGCCCTTGGCCTGAGCAAGAGCAGCCCAGGCTAGATCTGCAGCTGATGAAGCTCAAGTTTCATAATTTGTTTGTCCATTGGAACAAGGCGCGGGCACCCAGAAAGTGAAGGACATTGCAAGAAGTGCACGTGGTTCCGGGTTTCAAAAGTTTCAGTGAACAAAGTCAAAACCAGAAGGGTGCAAGATACGACAAGTCCGGCTGAGGTTGCCGCCGATATCTGGCTTCTCCCTGCCAACTTTGTGTGAGATTTTGCTACCAAAGCAGGATGCTAAACTCTGGCAGACACATCTTCTGCCACACGAAATGGCATACGGTCAAAGGCATTCAAATCGCGGCGTGTGGGTCTGAAGATCACAACTCACATAGCAGTGATGGATGAAAAAACACTCCTTCATGGACAGCACTAGCCACTAGCCTGTCGGGGTAGAGCGTCAGGCTGCCACGTTCGATTCGAACATCCCGATCAAAGTCGTGGCATCGCACGTCAGTGAGTCCTCCAACTGCAAAACAGACTTCCCCACCCAATCACCCATACTCCAAGGGGATTGCCATCAAAAAAACTTTTCAAACTCAAAGATCAGAAAGCGATTCCCACACATCATCCTGGCCATTTGACAGCGCCATAGCCGTAGCGACCAATCTCCAAGTTGTCGATACGACTAAGTTGTGCTTCACTCATCCTGGACATAGCTTCCTAAGCATTGCACGAAAAAACACAAATATCAAGGGACACACACAAGCCAAGATGTGACAAATGTGTGGTCGAAAGAAAATGCACCAGCAAGCTACGTTTCAGTACCACAAGGAGACGCAGCAATCACTGAATGAGACTCAATTTTGTCCCAAGCCATGCAACAAGGAGTACACAGAAATACTTGCAGTTCAATTGGCAGATTTGATCCTCCATGGACAATCCAAGAATCAATCGATGGATTGCTGTAATAATCTGCTCGCGAGAGCTTTGGCACCAACGAAGCAGCCGCCACTTCCGCCAACGGTGCCTCTTCCGACCTAGCGACTTTGCCATTCCTACAGAGGAGACCATCAAAACCAGTGGCGAGTAGGGGCTTTATGTACTGTATATATATATATAACTATATATGCATATATATATATATACTACCCCACACACAAAAAAAAATAATAATAATTAATAATATATCTTGGGTACTATATATATATATAGATATATATATATATATATGTGTGTGTGTACATGTGTGTGTGTGCGTGCAAAAGGAGGTAGAAATGTGAAACTGTGTTGCACAAAGCTACTCCCTACTGTTCCCTACCTCCTGGTGAACACTATGATTGCCCTATGGAGAGATACACCCATGCCATGCCAACCAAAGGATTTGGAAGCGCCTCTCGGGTCCGTGTCGAATGATGTTTGGTTTGATCGGCTTCAATGTGGGCGTCAGCATCTCCTGTTGATAGTGGCTATTGACAGCCCCAGACTCTGTGCACATGATTGGCCATCAAAAAAAAAAAGAGAAAAAACTCTGGGCCTCTGCTGCAGTAGGGGTGCCAGTCCCACCCGTCGTTCCATCTATTTGTACATCGCGTGGTCGCCTGGCTCGCACCAATCATTCTGCCACGACATGCTGCAGTGGAGGCATTTTTTTTCTCCGAGCCTCAATGGTGGCATACCTTCCTCTGGTGTACGTCTTGGCGACATTGGTGTCGGCGATTTGGGGGACTTTGGCTTCATTGACACTCGCAGGAATGCCTCAAAATCATCGGACTTTCAGAACACTGCATACATCAGAAGGGATGACAATGAACCTGGCGAATCACACTCAACAGGTAAGCGGGGAAAACCCTCTATAGTCTTGAGTACAGCAAACATAGATGACAAATAGATACAAATAGGCCAGGGGATGCCAGGGTGTTTGAAGTAGCTCCATGTGATCTCCATAGTTCAGCTCTGCCAAGGCTCCGAAGGTGAGACATCCGGCCCAGATGTCGGGGTGGCCGGTCGGCTTCTTGGTGTGGAGCTACCATACGACCGGATGTGATCGGTCCTCAGCGTCCAATTTCTCTGGTGGTTTGTCCTATGGCTGTCCTTGTCCCGTTTGTCCTATGGCAATCTGATGGCAATCTGATGGCGGTTCGGCCGTTGGCATTGGCAGCCAGCAGCCAGCAATCGTACCGAGTCTCACAGCCGAAGGTGGAAGGCTAAAAGATGTGCTTCGTGGAGATCTATCTGCAAAGGAGCCCTGTCAAAGGCATCAAGTAGAAAAAGTTCGAAACTTTTGGAATATAGTTACAACTATAGACTATAGTCATATTCAATCTAATTCTCAAAGTCGATAAGGTCATCAATAACGCCGAAACCATGGCCTCGGATGTAGACCGTGATGGCGTTGAATGGCGAACCTTGGCTCTGTCTGGCCCTCTCTCTGTCTCTCTCTCTCTCTCCCTCTCTCTCCCTCTCTTGAACGTACGTAGCTTTATGAAAATATGTGAAGAGCACTTCCACATCTCTTCGACCTGCTACCCATTTGGTCACCTGGTCGGAAACATTATGTCATAATATCATATCATTTCTTCTATTCCTGCCATGTCAGACCCTGAGTGCCATGCTCTGGCTGCCGATTCGGGCTGTGACTTCCACAGGTATGCGGATGTGGCTTTTGACGGCGTCTTTGGTACAGTCAGACCCAGTGGTCTGGGCGGTGCCTGATTGGCAGTCACCAAGCCGTTCAAACCATAGGGATCTCCAGGTGAGATGGGCATAGCACCCATACCTCCTCCCAGTCCCATCTGGCCCATCTGACCTGTATTCCCAAATAATCCGCCAGAAGCACCCATCATGCCACCACTGCTGGCACCAAAGAGTCCTCCACCTGAGTTTCCAAACAAACCACCTCCTGAGTTTCCGAAGAGGCCTCCTCCTGTATTGCCGAAAAGGCCCCCCCCTGTGTTGGCTCCGAACAAGCCACCACCTGAATTCGCACCAAAAAGGCCTCCTCCAGAGTTGGCTCCGAATAAGCCACCGCCAGAATTCGCGCCGAAAAGGCCTCCTCCACTGTTCGCACCAAAGAGGCCTCCACCAGAACTGGCACCAAACAGACCTCCACCACTGGGTTTGCCGCCGAAAAGGCCACCTCCGGTGTTGCCAAACAGTCCTCCACCGGTGTTGGCTCCGAACATGCCACCACCGCTATTGCCGAAAAGGCCGCCTCCAGTGTTCGCACCGAACAGGCCACCTCCGCTGCTCTGGCCAAAGAGGCCACCACCTGTATTCGCTCCAAAGAGGCCTCCACCAGTATTTCCACCAAACATGCCACCGCCGGTGTTGCCAAAAAGGCCTCCACCGGTGTTCCCGCCAAACATCCCCCCTCCTGTGTTGCCGCCGAACATGCCACCGCCGGTGTTTCCAAAGAGCCCGCCACCGGTGTTGCCACCGAACAATCCACCACCTCTGAAGGGCACAAAATGAAAATACGAGAAATGAGAGAAACCATCATGAAACACTGCAGCGCTTTGGCCCACTCAGGACACGACTACTATTTCTGAAACTAAATCATATCAAATTGTTGTACAACTGTGCTATGTCCTTTGCTCAGTTGGTGCTTCAAGTGCAAAGGCCCCGACCAGAGGCTGCCCCAAAGAGACCACCACCGCTGGGCTTGGCGCCAAATAGCCCGCCACCAGTGTTTTGGCCAAATAAGCCGCCACCGGTGTTGGCTCCAAACATGCCACCTCCAGTGTTCTGCCCGAACAAGCCGCCACCAGTGTTCCCACCAAACAAGCCGCCACCGGTGTTCTGTCCGAATAAGCCGCCACCGGAATTCTGGCCAAACAGACCTCCACCTCCGGTGTTCTGCCCAAAGAGGCCACCGCCAGTGTTCTGACCAAACAGGCCACCACCTGTGTTGGCTCCAAACATTCCACCACCCGTATTTCCACCAAACAAGCCACCGCCACTACTCTGACCGAACATGCCACCGCCGGTGTTTTGTCCAAACATGCCTCCACCGGTGTTGCCGCCAAACATCCCTCCAGTATTCTGGCCGAACATTCCTCCGCCGGTGTTGGCACCAAACAGGCCCCCACCGCTATTCGGCTGACCAAAGAGGCCGCCCCCGGTGTTTTGCCCAAATAGGCCTCCGCCGGCCGTGTTTTGACCGAATAGGCCACCTGGAAAGCTGAAGGGTGTCTGGAATCTGGAAGTCGAAAACCAAATCATGGATGACACAACAGTGACATGTAGTGACATGTAGTGGCCGTAACCACAAAAACAACCCCAGGCCTCCGGAGTTCGCAGCAAAAAGGCCACCGCCAGAGCTGGCACCGAAGGGACTGGAGCTTTGACCAAAGAGGCCACCTGAGGCACCTGGAGCTGGAGCTCCTGCCGAGATGGCTCAACTGGTTCCATTCCACCTGTTGCATTCTAATATAAGAAATGTCAATATAGTCAATGTATGTCAATATATATATATATAGTAACTACATGCAACTACATTGTAACTATAATTAGTGGATGTACTATAATGGTTGACTTACAACTTATAATAGCTAATATACTACAATAGTTAACTACCCTGAAAATAGATTAAATGTTGGGCCATTTGGGGATGATTCCCCGTAGATTCAGCATCATTCCAGTGACGTCATAGTGAGGTCATTTACACTTCTTCAACCCATCGTGGCCATGGCTATCCCATGGGCCGCCATGGGTCAAAATGGTGCTGATCCAAGACATGGCCCCACGCTTCCATCCTGCCTTGTCCTGCTTGCAAGCGGTTGGCCTGATAGTCTTCCATGCGGAGCCTCATCGCAAGGCATGGAGCATGCCTGCATCCCATATTTCATCCCTGAAACGATCTGCAGGAGAGGCCTCCAACGGAATCAACGGAATTAAAAAACTAAGGCATAGGCTCTTCGAAAGACTTATTCTTGTAACAGTCCATCACGCCGATGTGTGCATATTTCAACTTGGTTTCTTGGTCGGTGATCTCCTGCATCTTCGTGGTTGTTCCTGTTGCGGTACCGCCGAAGCCACCGCCAAACATCCCGCCCTGCGCGGGCTGTCCAAAGAGGCCGCCACCAGAGCTAGGTTGTCCAAAAAGGCCTCCACCTGAACTCTGGCCGAACATGCCGCCGCCACCTGAGTGCACGGCTCCACGGCTCCACCCTCTATCATCCAACAAACCTTGGATTGATCTCTATTCCGTTGGCTATCCCCGTTGAACCAGTCATTACATACGAAACCATCAACCACCATGGATTTGGGACCAATTCGGGATGATTTTTGGCATTGCCCACCTGCTGGTTGTCCGAACAAACCACCAGATGCCTGGCTCTGCCCGAAGCCTCCTCCTCCAAATAGGCCACCCGTGGGTTGTCCTTGGCCCATGCCGCCACTTTGGCCGAAGCCAAAGCCTCCGCCGCCACAGCCGCAGCCTCCAGATCCAAAGAGGCCTCCACCAGACTGGGGCTGTCCAAACAATCCCCCGCCAGCTCCACCCCCTGTGTTTCCAAATGGGCTGCTCTGTGCACCAAAGAGGCCCCCTCCAGTGTTCTGTCCGAACATTCCGCCACCGGAGTTGGCACCGAACATGCCCCCACCAGTGTTGCCACCTCAATGTCTGCCGGGTCCGCCAAAGACACAAGCAGCTACAAGTACATGACAAATCATGGCTTGCTCATTGATCTGTGTGACCCCTAAAGTGACATTATCCAACGACATCATGAATTTGCCAACTGAGAGTTGCACCGAAGAGGCCACCACCGGTGTTGCCAAAGCCTCCGAAGCCCCCTTGGGGTTGTCCGAACATGGTTCACAGAGATGAGCGGTTTCTAGGCCTCAGCAGCAACTATGGCCTCATGGACTCGATGGAAGACGATGGATAGTTGATAGTCTGGGTAATAGCATGTCATAGCCATTATGCAAGCAATTACAGTGGGCTCTGGAGCTTCTTCAGTTTTACTTGCTGGGCAGCCACCTTCCCGGCTTCCTCTCTCGGCCTACCTGTCTGAAACTACAACTGCAAACAGTCCCGCAAAGTCAGAAATGAAATGAAATAAATGTTCGACCTGCGAAAGCCCTACTCTCTCTCTCTCTCTCTCTGAAATTCGTGAGATCACATCTTTGATGGGCAAATCATTTACAGCTTATGGATGTTCCATGATGTTCCATTGCCAAGGTCAGATTACCCGTAGGCGCGGCCCGTAGGGCATGAGTTCTGAGTTCGTGGCAAAGGCTCGATCTGCTTCGCGATCGTAGCCCTGGGTGGCCCTTCGGCCACCCTACAAATGCCAAGTTGTGCAGCACAGTGGTTCGGGAAAAAGCAGCTTGAACCGAAACTGTGATGGGAGCGGGAGACGATGCTACCAGACAACTACCTGATTTTGTTTGCCATTTCAAGTTGCGTTTCAAGTTTAAATTATGTCAAATGGTGGAAAAAGGAATGTTGAAAGCGTTACAAAGAGAGCACAGTATGTAGTAGAACACTCCACACAGCTCCTTCATGGAAACTGCACATCATTTATCTTGAACGCTAGAGGTTGGAATCTAGGTTGATGTGTTGCAAGGGGCAACTTTTACACTGCGTCGTCGTGCAGCACGCGCCCCGAGAACTTGCTGGCGATAGCTTGGCAAACCCCAATGAAGCAAACTAGCCAACAGCAGCGATCCTATGTCCTAGGTGCCACCCGCATCAAAGTTTGCGAACTATGCGCACTTCCACCCCAAGCACAGCTTATCTCAACAGCTCCTTGGAAGATGAGACTACACGCAAACTATGTGGAAGCGCATGAGTTCCACCCACAGTTACCTGGTCGTTCTTTGCAACCCAGGGCTGCTCTAAACCAGTTGGAACCTTGACCCTTGAGCCTTTGCCATCATTCTTCATTCATCCCTCACTCCGGAACTGCTGGAAGAGGGCTGCAGATTCATGTGGCGAAGAGGCACTCTTGAATCCCAAGCACCCGAGATACGCGAGGCAAAGTATCATAGAAGAAGAACAAGTGGATCACGAAAAGCAGCAAGAAGAGCAGTGGGAACAGCGAGTGCAAATGAAAGTGGCTGGCATGCTGCTGCTTGATCACCTGCCCCAGTTGTCGTCGCAAATCCTCCACTTCTTGCTGCTTAAAGTCTAGCATGCTCTGCTTCACATTGACTTGCAGCTGCTTCACCTTGGCCTGGCCAGGGAAAAGTGCCCAGAAACCTGTTTCCAGCTTGCCGAACCTTACCCCTAGAATCCCAACTCAATGTTCCTGTCCATATTTCCTTCCTGCTCCTACACATCAAGGGTGGCTGTCGAGCTTCCCCCGCGCCTCTTCCTCAAGCCGACTTGTGTGATCTGTCAGCTCCTTGATCCGCTGATGCATTGCTCCCTTCTCCTTTTCTCTCTCGATGAGCATCGACCGGACGTGCTCCATTTCGGCCTTCCACTCCTAGCATTGCTAGCATCCACTCTCATCAGTTACGGAAGTGTGCGTACGATGGCACATACATGCATGCCTGTGTGTGTATGCGTGCTTTCCTCCAAACAGCTGCATAATGTGCAGCATTTGCACGCGTACATGCATCTGTCTGTCAATACAATGGGTACGATTACATAACCCCACTTAACCCACTTACATCTCTCTTTTGCCTATCCATTAAACATACATGGATCCGATACGCAAACAAATATTTTACAGTTGACAGTGACACATCTACGTCTCTTTTAATGCTGCCACTTTGTCAAACTCATGTATGCCCATATGAAGGGCCAATCATTGATGCTATCGCTTTGCTTTACGTTTCTTTTAAAAGATTCTTCCGACACGCCCCTGCTTCCGGATGGGCAAGTTGCCTGCATCAAGAGCAGTTCTCGAGCCAAGCAGTGGGAACTATGAAGAGGTCGCTCGTCCCAACGTCCAGTCCAGTAGCAGCCGGGATGAACGCAGCGGACTTGCAGCTCATTGAGCAAAGAGCTCACAACCAGATTTGGCCTCGGGCACTCAACGCAGCTGCGGACCGTGTTTGTCGGTGCAAATTCTTCACTGGGTTGTCACTTCATGTCCAAGGGGCTGCAAGTCTTTGGTCATGGGTGCTCTGCATGTGGGACATACTGGCTCGCAGGTGAGAACAGCACGCTCAATGCAACTGCGGCAAAAAACCTCGGTAAGCAACATGTATCTGGTGATCCTTGACAGGACACTTCGGATAGCCTTGATGGCCACGTGCCAAAAGCAAAACTATTCCGGCAGAAGTTTGCATTCTACCGAGCCTGCTGACAAGAACTGCAGGAAACAGGCTCTGCAAACCTCAGTGTAACATTGCAGCCATAGGACCATAGAAATGCACGGAAAACAATAATGCAACTGAAGACTAACCGACGAAACTGAAAACTCAACAACAAAGGTATCTGACCAACCTGTGATGAATGCTAGCAACACATCAGTGCAAATAGGGCATCGAAGAGTGGGAGAAACTGCATCCGGACGAGCAAGCTCATGGTCCTCTAAACCCATCCTTGGTTGCCAGCACAAGGCAAAGGCTAGCAGCAGGTGTTCCGCGCCCAAACTGCCGAAGAACTTTTCAATTCATTCAGAGCAGACAAAGCGACTTCAACCCTATGTTGCCTGATCGTTGCAGCTACTTGGTACGCCGACACAATTGGAATCCCCCAGAAGTGATCAAAGCATTGCTGTTTTGAGCGTGTGTTCTGCCTTGTTGAGCTTAATCTGCGATGTATTGCTCTTTCTCTGAGTCTGGAATGTTCGTGGGTCCATTGAATTTAAGACTTTGAAAGCCATCTTTGATCATGTTTGCGTTCTCCCAGCCTTTGGTCAGGCAAAATACGCGTCAGCAGTGGAAGATTGCAGAAACGACTTCCACGGATGAATGACCAGAAGCAATGCCACGGCAGCATTCAACAACTAAAACAAACAACGAAGGAGTCCCACTTCAGTGCAAGCTCGTGGTTTTCCGACCGCTGCCGCACGAATGTCCACAAGTTTCGAACTTCGAGCGTGCCACAAATCTAGACAGTGTCTCATGGCCTTGTAGCAGAACTTACGAATCAACTCCCAATGTCCCAGCTGTGCTTCCGGCTATCATGGAGAGAATCACAGAATATCACAGAATCTATCAGTCTATCTATCAGTCTATCAGAGTCTATCAATTCAATTCATACCACACAAGTCTCCACCGTCTCCACCAGAGACAGCAACAATGGAAGCCACCTTGCTGATCGTCTGAATCGTCTGAGCTATGCACCGTTGCAAGGCTCTGGTGACTCTGGTAGCTTCGTGAGGAAGCACTGAATGCACTGAGGATCTTGCCTTGCAGTGCGGCAGTGCAAAGGCAAGTACCGCAAGTACTACCTTACTACGTCTAGTAACTTCCTAATTTCAATGGGAATTTCAGGATCCTAAAATAGAGGTACTCTACCATATAAAGCCATATTTTGGGGTATATCCCCTTACATAGCCCTTACATAGGCCTTATACAGTATATATGGTAGGTACCTCCATTTTAGGTTCCTGAAATGGCCATTGATAATTGGAGGCCCCCAGTTTCTGCTTCTACCAAGCTGAGTTCTTGCTTGCGCCTTTAGGATCCTTTGGGTGTCAAAATTACCTGGTGCCCATAATCATGATGTGGTAGTTTTTGCCGTGCCATAACCACCTTTGTTTCTTCGCCGCAGCTTTGAGGCCTCTGTTTGTCGATGGTTTCCATCGTCGGTGAAAAATCCAAACACCTGAGCGATTCAGAAGCCACCTTGAAACAAAGCCTTCCATACAGCGACATCGGCAGCTAATTACTCAGCCCATCAGGGTGATTCAGGATGCACAAGCACTTGAAAGGATTGTATGCTTGGAGCCAGATGCTCAACCTGGCCGTTACACCTACATGACCCAAATAGCTTCACAAGCGTCAGCAAGCAATTCTGAGACAGTGACTGATGTTCTGATGTTGTCAAAGAAACTCACTATGGCCTCCCCGCCATCGTAGCCACTGTCCGTGCTGTCGAGGTAACTGCAACCGGGGTGATGCCAAACAAGCGAACTTTAGGTTGAAATCGCCAGTGGAACAATCTGAATGTGGGTCAGTGTTTCACGCGGCAACATTTAAGCATACCTTCTTGTCTTGTCTTCATGTCTATCTTAGATATCTTAGTGTCTTAGCGCTAAGGGGACAATTGGTAGACCAATTTATCTTGAGAAAAGAGATTTCGGATGGTTTATGCAAGCCATTTCCATCATGTCTATTCATTTCTGGAAATAAACTGGTTCACTTTACAGCAGATATTCGCCTACCCAATGTGAGAATATGCTGGGCCCACTGCAACCGCGGCCGGGTGAGGTGCGGGCTCCAACGTATCGGCCCCCGTGGCTGCCAACGTGTTGATCCACGGGGGAAGGCGCGCAACACCTGCATAGCATGGCATGGCATGTGCCATGATCCCTGGCTCTTATCCGAAAAAGAATTTGTGAGTCCTTGGGCCCTTGGGGGTCCTCTTCCAAGCTATGGAAGGAAGAAAAGTGATGAACGTAGTGCAAATGCCAGAAACATCCAGAAACTACCAATCAGCTGAGTTTTCGTTGCAAAGCGGATTTGGCTGCACATTTTGAGATCTGCTCAACAACGACAATACACGGACATTGCCCTGTGCAGCTCTGTCCGGCTGAAAATTAGCCTGCACTTGCCCATTCTGGGCCGGCGGCGAAAAAAGGAACACTGTACATAGTGTGTAGCGACTCTAATCGGACAACACCTTCCGCAAGGGAATGGCAACAGAATCCAAAAACCAACAAGAGTGGCTGGTGGATGAGATTCATTTTGTATCTCTGTATCTCGGGCACGCATCACATTGGCCAACATATGCCAGCATCCTTGCAAAAGGGATCTGCCACTGGGCAGGTTCCTGCCAAGCTGAAATCTGTCGCATCAGCTTTGTGCCAGGTACAGCGCCAACCTTCAAACTCCAAATGGTCCGCATGTTCACAGCCGTAGCCGATCTTAGCCGCTGGTCATCTGAAATGGGCCGGCCAAGCCGAGATTAGGCAAACGCCCATCCTGCAAGTGCATCAAGCTTCGTTGCTAAAATCAAACATCGACAGTTCCGAGCAAGTGTGTGTGTGTGCCTGTGCGTGTGCGTGAGTGTGGTGCCTTCAAATGGTTTCACAAGACAACCTCATTCAGTCTTGCAGATTGCAGGACTGATTTTCTCGGTTATTGCTGTTGGTTCTCACTTCATCCGAGTCCTCAGTCTTTGCAAGTTTTCGCCACGGCTGAGCACCATTGCTGTCGAGGTACTCCTGCACCACGAAGAACTCCCCAGAATAAAAAACAAAAAGTGCATGCCTGCGTCACAGCCATTCAGCGCAGAGTGTTTGTCAACGTCCTGATAAATCCATCTCCTGACCAACGAGTACAGCGGAGTTGGGTTCTTCTCCTGAGAGCCACCGTGTCAACTCAATCAACACCAAAGGCATGCAAGCACACGAGGATGAATTGCACAGCGGCACAGCGTTCCTCACAAAGAGAGCTGTACTCGGTGACTTCGCTCATGGGACAGAATTTCACCACCTGACAAAATCACAAGATATGTCATATGTTCAAATTTTGATCAGCCTGGCACTCAATCCATGCAATGCAGCACAGTTGATAGTATGATAGCGACTCTGGTCTTCTCGTTTTCTCTCTGTGCTCAGTCGTTTGCCGTCGTTTGCTGGCACCTCACCCTGCGACAAGTGCAACAGGTGGCTGGCCCATCCTTCCAGGTGATCGAAGATATGTGTGCCTCAGCATGAGAGCAACGGATTCATCTCTTTGAAACAGCACAACGATTCAGGAATGGACAGGCTGCACTAGTGCTTGCATAGTCTTGCATGGTTCAAGGGGTTTCTGGATGTTGGTCCAAAACCTGCTGTGCATCACTCAGATGGAAGGCCCAGGAACAGTAAAAAATGGTCGCTCCCCTGGTCTCGGTCTCTGCGCGGAGAAAATTCAGAATGCCCTCACGAGCAAACAAATCCAAGTCGGAGGTGATCTCATCCATCAAATACACCTGAAGCACAGGAAGCCCTGTTTTCAGATTTCACTTCTTCCGCGCCAGGCATGGATGCTTTGAACATATTTGATTGAAATATAGTTTGCTATTATGTGTATATATATATATATGCGTATATATTATATATACATATACATATACATATACATATACATATACATATATACATATACATATACATATACATATACATATACATATACATATATATATATACATATACATATACATATACATATTCATATACATATACACATACATATACATATACATATACATTTACATATACATATACATATACATAAACATATACATATACATACACATACATATATATATATATTCTACAGGTATATTATATATCATGCCAATCACAAATGTCAACCCCGGATTAATAAACATTGTTTATTAAAGTTTATTATATAATTAGAGGGGGTAGTCCTCCAATAGTCATAATCTGATACTTAAATGGTACCCTCCCAATTAAACAGCCTATAGGGTTTATTAATCCAGGGTTGACATTACACACATAAGTCAGTCGCTCTTGTGGCAAAATTAGGCAGCGGCTGATCGAGGAGTAGCCAGGCACTCAAGGAGTTGGCAACGGCGTCTCATTCCTCACATGCTCATGGCACATCTAGGAGACGATCCAACTGAATTGTTCGCTCGGGTTAGATTACCGTTTCATGACAGTCATATAGCAGTTGGTTGTCAAAAAAAAACCGACTGTGATCTACTCAGGCAGTTGCCGTCTGAGACTTCATTGATCTTCCACTCCATGTCCACCTGAGTCTGGTGCACATGGCTGATGCTTCAAGTTACTCCAAAAAGCAGTGTCTGGTGGACGGCCCCACCTGTAGCACCTTGGCCAAGTGTTGGGCACGAGGCGTCTTGGCCACATCTCCAATCAGTGCTCCAATGGAAAGATTCCTCGGAATCTCCCAGAATGAAACGACCAAAACGACGACACCTGCTGTGGCCACGGCGCTATAACATGAGGAAAATTTGCGCTGGCAAACCCCAGTGCTGCAAAGGATGCTACTACTGGATACAGGAATTAGTCACAACAAACTTTGATAGCTTTGACTGGCGCGTGAGTCGTGCAGTTCTAGCTTGAGATTTTGTGCGTTTGAGCCATTATATATGGAATCAGACCTAGTCAGAGCATTATCCAGTAGGTCTTCACTCAACAATTTGCACAGCAGAATCACGAGATGCACGGAGGTGCTGCTTGGTTTAGTTGTTCAATTCTGAAGGGTCAAGCTACAGTCCCATAATTCATGCAAACTGAGAAGCATAAAAAATTTTGTCCGCCACCAGTCACCACCTCAGCATGTTGAGATGAATGCCAGCATGCCCCATAATACTTCAGCCACCAAGCACACAAACAAACATGTCCCAATCAGTGTCACACAGCACTTAGAACATAAGTCCTTGGATATCAAGAAATATCATGGGCTAACATCAGCATCAATACAGTATCAATACAGTATCAATACAGTATCGATACAGTATCGATACAGTATCAATATGTGTTAATCCTGCTAACATATGTTAATCATGTGAAAATCCAAGGCACAGTACATGATGTGCTTCGAAACGCCTGGGTCGTGAAAGCAATCCTTCCGCATGACAGTGGCGTGGCCTCTAGGGATCATCCGCTTTCCGCCTCAGGACATGGCCCAAAACATCCATGTAATGTGGTTAAAACAATCATAAACCATCCCCAAAAGCACCATCAATGGGTGGTATATGGTGGTATAAACCATCAAACATGGGGTGGTTTATGATTTTTTGACCGCGTTATTCTGTGATGTCCCGTGATATTTTATGATATTCCATGATGAAATCTCCAATGAAGAGACTGCCAGTGCTTCAAGCGTACCCAAGATCGATAGCAAGGTCGATTTGCCGGCACCGTTCGCGCCAACAACCAGGATTCGTGCACCACGGCCGAAGTCGAAGGACACATTCTTCAATTGAGGGCTGCCACCGGCCTTGCTTGCCACAACAAGACCAAAACCGCCTTGTATAAATATATGCATACCGGATAAAGAAATAAAGCACATACTAATTACAAATCTAATTATACTACACGTTTAAAATATGTCAAAGTTCTCTGTCCCATCAGGATCCCAGAATCCAAGGGGGGAAAGAAATATCAACTCGGCCGGGCAACATAGCTATACGTCAGATTGCTAGTTTGCAAGACCGGTCCATCAACTGCTTCCACTTGCGGACCGGGTGGGGAAGCTTCCTTCATGGTTCGGTGCTTCGGACTTTTTTGCAGGATCTGATTTGAAAATAACTTGGAAGGTTCCAAAGCCTTGCTGGAACTGCATGGCCAAGCTGGTAGAAAGAGTTCCCGCTACAAACATTGACTGAAATAGCATGATTATATATATATATGCATAAACCCGGAAAAATCAGCACCCGTGAATATCGTGAATATATCAATGAAGAGTGATCCTTCATCTGTTTCAGAGAAGTCCTCCTCCTCGCTGGCCGCTTTGCCATATGTCTGAAGTATCCATTGCTTCATCAGCGCGTACAACGGGCAGCGAGTGCTCTTGGCTAGCTCATGATACTCGTGCAAGTCCTGAAAGCCGCGGAAACTGTGCACACACGCAAAATCCCCTCTGGATACTAGCAGCTCCTGTGACCTGAGGGTCACAAATCCGTCATGTTTTGCATGGATTGGTTCTCTGGATGTTTTTTCTACAGTGGGGATTTGCCGCTTGGATGTCAGTGTGCTTGAATGCGAAGAAGCAGTTCATCTGCAGTTGCTAAGGCACTTCCATCCGGCAGCATCTTTGCACCTTCCCAGCTGAAAAAAAGATCAAGTGGGTCGCCCACTCTGCAAGGTGATCAAAAATATGAGTCGCGTAAAAGATCGTCCTCAGATCAAATACAAATGAAGGAGAATACTGCAAATGTCATGACATACAGTCTGTGGATTGATACTACAAGCCACAATCAGAAATCCAATTTCTCTGTCCCTCACGGCAGGAATGGCATGGAGGTACAGAAGGTCCACCAAACGGCAAGCTGGTTTTTTCCCCATCGGACTGTGCACAGAGATGCACGGCGGTAGCTACTATTTCAGGCATGCGTTTTGTGCCCCACACAACATCCCGCAACATGTTTGCAGCCTTGCGGCGCACCCTTCTCTTCAGATTCTCGCCGCAAGAAACGCAGCAGGCCCTCTCTGGCATAGAGATCCAAATCCTGCTTTGAACCGGTAACAGGGCCCATGCCAAAAATACTCAGAAGAACCCGTTCAACGGGAGGATCGGTTACAATTTCTGGAGTATCTGGACCTCACATTTCCTCATGGGAAAACCCAATGTGCCAGTCACAGGGCACACAGAAAGCTTCTGTCCGTGGTGATTTCATCAAGGATGTAGACCTCAGTAGGTTGACCTGTTCACTGTTTGAATGAGGTTGTTGGATCAAGTGAAACTAGAATACTTTTTTCTGTTCTGCAGTCTAGAAAAATATAGAATCTCGACTTCAGGAAACTGTGAGAATCGCTCCAAGTATGGCGTTTTCACTGAATCAGCGTTGTACTCTTTGTGTTTGCTGCCACCCCGACCTTCTTTTCTTCAGCCAGGCACTCAAGCAGCTGACACCTGCACAGGGTGATCGGCAAGGGCAAGCGTGTCTCACTCTTGACGGGACCAGCGATTGCATCGAATTCCCCGCCTACGTCTCTGACCATCACTGATGGCGTTGATATGCCATGATGTGTTGATCTGCCTCATGCGGTGGATCGAAGCCTGCAATGGATCAAAAATTGAGTACCTGTATTTACATATATATATATATATCTGTGTGTGTGTGCCATATATCATTATATATATATATACACACACATGTGTGTGTGTGTGTGATATGATATGTGTGTGTGTGGATATGGGTTGATATGGAATGGTCAAGACCAGAAAAACACCAACATCGTTTTTCCGGGCCCAACAAGGCGACCGCGTTCACACCTGTGGCAAAAAACCAAGGAACATGATGTCAATCAGCTCCTGCACCCTGGGCGTTTCCAGCATCTTCTCCCCGATGAGTTCTGCAACGGTGATGTTGAAGAAGAAGTCAGTCCGCCACCAATCTCCACCTAAAAGGAATGCACCCTCAGGTAATCAAGCGTGGTAATGGGAAATTCCCCATGGACGAAGTTGTAATGGGAAAATATGGGAAAATCATCTATAAATGGCGGATTTTCCATTGCCAGCGGAGGTAGGCACCCCATTGAAACCAACATCATGTTTGGTCTAAATATGTCTAAAATATCTAGATCTTCTGCCAGGAAAACCACGAGAAACACAGGTGTCACCCATGATGTCCTGAAATTGGGCAAAATGTTTGGGGTCCACTTTGGCATACCATGTGCCATCAACATCTCAGCCCTGGGCAGTACATGCGTTGCGAATTCAGCGTCGAATCATGGAAAACAGCCTTGCCAAGGATCTTGCAATCCTCGGTGGCATCAACTTGCGTGGCAAGTGGGACGACTTACAGATCTGACATCGTCTGCTCTAATGTTTGGAAGAAGATACCACTGATTCTCAGGATGCAGCATTTCTTGGCACCATCTTCTTCCCACCCATGATGGAGAGGAGCGTAGACTTCCCAGCCCCGTTTCCTGCACATGCATGCACATGCTACAAATACCTCTCAGTGTCAGCGACTCTTTTGGCTTTCAAAACTGCGTGCTGCTGTATGCAGCTTGCGGAAAAAAAGCGCCCATGCCAACAGTGTGCGAAAGTACCAAAAGGCACGTGAAACATCCTGAAACCCACTCCAGGTGTCCTGAAGCCCAGAATAGAAACCACTCCGACCCTCCTCCCTGAGCTTCAGAAACACGAACCACTACCATTACAATCATTACCGATGTTCAGGGTGTGGACCCAGGCCTCCAACCACCAGAACTCGGCATCCTTGTCCAAAGCTGCAACAAACATCTATCAGTTTCCTTAGTCATAGTCGTTTTCAAAATTCATAGAATTACTGTATGTGATGCGTTCGCACGCGATCCGGCAACACGTAGGGATGGATCAAAACCGATGGGATCATCCGAATGGATGAATACCCATGCCATTTAGATCAATTTAGATCCATTTAGCTATTTGCTCATATTTACCCGCCATTTCGTTGTGAAAACACCGGTGTGAACAGGCCCATACCCATGTGGACGTACATGGACATATCGTCCAGGAGCCGCATCATTGCGCACCAAGATTCGGTTCACTCAGTGCCCGATCGTGGATCGTGGCGCCACCTCCATAGCCTTGCGCGTTCCGTGCGTTCCGTCTGAGTCGCTGGGGTACCGTCTATGGAAGAGCCTGGCATCCTGGTGACCAAAACAGCTGACTGGTGGTGTTTTTTTCCTAAAAGAAATCATGTTTGGACTGCCCATCTCCATCTCTCGGGTTGTAACCCCGTCTGAACTTAAGTGGTAGATCATTCTTTATGGCATTTACATGCTTTTACAACCCTATCAAGAGCACACCCCAACACCAGGCTTCCCCTTATTGGGACTTTTGGCACCTTCACCTTCACCCACAAAATCTGGGACACCAACGAAACGGAAGATTCAGAAGCTAACGTAGAAGTAGAATGATGCTGTCTTTTTGCGAGCTGACAAGCAGCAGTAGGTCAGCTTGTCACACTGCAAGGCCGCCAGGTCCTTGCAGCGGCAAAATGTTAAGGTGGAAATGTTGGTGGTTTGTCAGTGCGCTTTCAAGGGAACAACTCCACCAAACCACAGATCTCGAATGATCTCCACTGATCTCAAATGACTCTAATGCTTTCCTGCCTTGGGCTCTTTGGCTGAAATATCTACAATGGTCTCACCATTAACGTAGCCCATAGCACCTCTGTCGCTCAGCACAATCAGAACGTACGAGTTGCGTGTCTGAATGGTACTCATGTCCCACAGAGACTGATGCAAACTGGGAGGAAATCGCACGAGAAATCCAAGCTGATTCGATGATTCAAGCGCGCTTTTTCTCTGGGCTGCGGGCCAATCTTTGCCGCAGGGCTGAGGGCAGTTGAACTTGAGCAACAAAAATTGTCCAACGCAAGGAGGACATCACATGGTGTCACTTTGTGGCAGTGAATTTCCAGTAACGTATCCTCTTTAGGCAGACTGCAGAGGCAAGGTCCTACGGAACAAACATAAACTCTCCACTGTTTGCAACTCCTCACGCCCCAACGCAAAACACACCAGCCTAAACGGGCACAGAACCTGGAATGCAGTGTCCGTGTTCCAAAGGAAAAACTGGGCCAAAGAATAATATGATAGCAGCAGAATGTGGGTATCGCCTGGCTCTGCTTTGAGATTTCTGTGCAAGCTCTAGTGGCAATAAAACGATTGGGTTGAGAATTACAAGAGCCATGTCGTAAGGCAAGTTGAAATCTTATTCCATGCAACAATCGCAGTCGCAAGGTAAAAACGTGCACACCCGAAATCGCGAAACAGTGTAACTTCTCAGAAGTCTGGTGACATGTTGTGTTCTGTGACATGATGCAGTAGGTGTCCGAGGCTCCAACACTTCTGAAAAGTGGTGGCAGTTCTTCGTCAGAACCTCAAAGCGCATTGAAGCCGGACAAAGAGCCATGAAGTTGAACCAGCAAACCACCTCACAAATGCCATGACAACCTGCAAGGATTGTGCCAAAGCTTTGCACAACTTGACGCATGGGGCGGCTGCTTCACTACTAGCCCAGAATTTGAGGCAGGGGCATGGTAATCTCTGCCTCTCCAATCGCGCTTTAAGTCCTTGTGCACTGCAAGATGGGGAATTCTTTCCGTTCAGTGAAGTGCAGGAGAGACTAGTGTTCAGTGAAGCTCAGGATTCCACTTCCAAAATCTTGCCGACTTCTCTGGGTGAAAACCTCGTGTAGCCTGAGCCGAATGGGATGTCATGGGCATGAACTGGCAGGATGCATTGGGATGCATTGGGAGCATGCACATCCGCCGCCAGGGTCCAGGCCCATAGACAGAGTTTCTCGGAAGGTGTGGTCTGCATTCTTCGCTGGTTCGTGGCTGATGATGCCAGACCTCACTCCAAGCACACATCTGATTCAGATATTGGGCCATCTCCATTTAGAGTTCTCCTTCCTTTCCTGCTACAGCGGCTTTGGCCGACACGTGTTGTCAAAGGTCATGCCATAACTCCACTCTTTGCCATACACCTGCTGACATGATGTGCTTATATCTGCCGCAGACACGGCTGATCAAATCGGGCGACACATGGCTCGGGATATGTGCTGTCATGACCACAGACATCGAAGCTGAACTACAGTCAGGGGAAAGGCCATTGAGCGTCGCATCTTCTAGGCTGCAAGTCATGCTCTCCAATGATTTTGGCCTCCACTCCAGTATGGAAGGCCCCATAGTTTTTGGTAAGTTGGTTGTGGAAGCCTGAGGTTCGTGGTGTCGTGATGCAGCCATGCTACAGTGACCAATGTGATTTTGCAATAGGCCGGCGCAAAATTTCCTTCAGAAACTACCGATTCAGTTCACTGTTTCACAATATGTCTGAGAAAATTATGTTCGCCGTGCCGTCCATTCACTATTCTGCCAAAGTTCGAGTCAGCATCGTCCTGAGTTGTGCAGGAACTGTCCGGCCGCCATTCTTCGACATCAAGTTTGCAGCCTCGTGTCAACTTCTGAAACTGCTGCTTATCTGAGACTGTGACTGTCCCAAATCGTACACCCTCACCTGGCCGCAGAGAAAAGAATCCAGTTGAAAGTGGAGAAATCTTCATTCATGGATGCATCCTGAAATAGGCAAGTCTCTTGATTGCTGTCAAGTGGCAAACACTACAGTATGAACAACGTTCTCCAACCTTCGCTAGTCTCATGCAGGTCTCTTTGCCCAACAAACTTGAGACTCCCGCCAACACTCTTTCCCGGTACACTTTGCGAGCTGGAAGCCTGAGGTGAAACAGGTCAATCAAGAAACTCAGTCAAAAACCACCCAAAAAAAAACAGAGAAATACCAAACAGGGCAGCCATAGACTTTCAGAAACTGAGGTGTAACCGGTGTAACCCTCCCGCTTAAGGACGTCACCGAGATGGCGCGCTCTGCGTAGAAACCTGGGCAGAGCGTCTGCAATGAGACCAGTGCCGCCGAAGGCCTGACTTGTTCAGAACTGCCAAGTCGCATCTCTGTCATTGCTGGTCACCAGAAAAGGATCGGTTCCACTGGAATCAGCGCCTTGGGTGAGACTTCACCAAATAAAGGCACACTCAGCAACGTCTCAGCTCAAAATCATTGTGTCTGCACAAGTTTGCAGCTCCAATTTCCGAACCAGAAGCTGACCCCATGTCTGCCCATGCACAATCTTGCACCAGCGTGTTCATGTCCCAGCCTAGCCTCGGCCGTCTCTGCCAACCTGCGATGCTTCAAGTCAGCAGACAAGGCTGACCAATAGAAGATCTGCATTGGCAAGCTAGCTTGCGAACCCTGTGCACAAAACGGGGGCGCCTTTTTGGACATTTGCACATTGAGTTGCACAAGTTCCGGTCATTTGCAAATTGAATCCCAACCATCAAGTTGGATTGAGAAATCGCTATGTGAGTCTATTAGTTGCATAAAAAACAAGGCATGCACGTCGGCACTTGAAGAAGGCCAATTATCTGCAGCTCGCTTGTCGGGTGGAGACAAATGATGCTAAACGCCCATCCTGTGCCGGCCGAAAGTCTGGACTAAACTCATGCCAAGATCAAGTTCTGAAACAGCATGGCATGGGTCAAACTTGTCGTTTGATTCTAGATTCTAAATCTAAATGATTCAAAACCGAGGTGCTGGGAAAAGCTGATCTGGGGAGAGTTGACGATCACCGATGCAACCGGCCATTTTGCTCAGCAAACCTTCAAACTTTCCGAGAAAATTCTCCTCAGGAATTGCTTCAGGGCATTCACATGACGAGAAAAAACTTTCAAGACGCTCCCTACGAACAGGATGAAGCGCGCAAGACCGACTTTGCTGGAGTAACCGCAAGCGAGACACATGAAGTTTGATCAGGTCCGGCGCGAAAATCTGCTTGCATCCGTGAGGATCCAATGCTAGGAGCACATCCTGTCAACGATCAGGAGCCAACTGACTCAACTGACCTAAGGAGCTCACAGGCTCACAGCAGATTCAGTCCTTTGGGTCCACCGCTTTCAAGTCGACCCCAGCAGCCATCAAGGCTCCTGCAAGTTCTTCTGCAGATAAAGCCTGACACATGGAAGGTCAACATTGTGATGTCTTTCAGACGGGGCCAAGGATCCAAGACAAAAAATGGCTTTGGGAGTCTGATGTGTTTTGTCCGATGAAGAGTGCAAGGCATGCATAGCTAGCAGCTGGCTGAACAACTTACAGCCTTTTTCAAAAACGGACGCCTGAGTTGGCCTGCGGAGTGCAAAGTCCAGGACCTACACTGCGGCAAGATGGCATCATGCCAAACCCCTCTGTATCCCATGGAAAAACAACAGGGAGTGGACCAAAGCATTGGACAAGGTGCTAGCTTCATCTCAATGCCCGATAGCATGCAGGCTCCGCATAAGGCATCCAGGTGAGTTTGCACCAAACCCCGAGAAGCTCTCAGAATGCCAAGCAGCCTTAGCAAACAGCTACTGCGAAGACTGAAACCTCCATCATTGGGAGAACATTTCCAGTGCTTTCGGGTGCCTTTGCCACGAAGCCTCAAATTCCTGTCAAACCCAACTGCACCGAACTGTCTTCACCCAACCGTTGATGGAATTCTGGATGCGATCCAATTTGAGGTGATAAATGCGACATGAAATAAATGTGAATTGGCATGAATGTCGTAATGCAAAAATACCAGCAAACCCAGAGCAAATGTCAGCTCAGATGCATGCGATAAGTCAGCGGAGGTGGCTCAGCTTGCAAGCCATAGCTGCTCAATGCAACAGAAATGGACTCCTCACTCGGCAAAGCAGAAACTGCCAACTTCTGCTTGCACTCGAGGGAAAATTCTGCGTGCAGTCTAGTCTAGAGAAAAAACAATCATATAATCATATATATTATATACTGTAATATATATATTATAACTGAACGCTGGAATATAGACCAGTCCTGCCACCGTAGCAAAGACCCAGCAATGTGGGACGGCAATCGCAAATCTGACAGTAGCTCCTCTAAACCTGACGGTGTGGCCTTAGTTCACACAGAGAAGTGGATCAAAGACAGGCAGCAGGGGTAACCGTAATATTTATTAGGGCTGGATCCCAAACCTTTTATCTTTACTAATGGACCCCCCACCAAAAAACAATGCTTGGATGGGGTGATGATTGCATCCGGAAAAGCGTTGCCACCATCTCCGCAGCTGCCAAGTTGCTATTGCATGTTAACATGCCATTACGATGGTTGAATTATTCCAATATGTCCTAACTTTCTCTCCACTTTCTCAGCTTATTCAGATAATCATTGGGATTCAACCAACCCCCCCATTTCGGTGACCCTTGCAACAACAAGGGCTTATTGAGGAGTGGAATCCCAATCATCAACCACCAATAGGGGCTTGTTGATCACATTTAATCACCCAAAATATGGGTTATTGATGGGTATTAACATGTACATACATGTACTAACCACCAATAAGCACAGTCTGGTTAAACCATGTTAAACCTGTTAAAACCTGCCCCCTCCAGTGTCTGCCGCGAAGCCTTGCTATCTAAGGTGCACCCTCGGCGGCCCAGTGCGTCGCTCACGGCCGCCAATCGCCCAGGCTCTTGCACTGTTTGCACTGCCACAGTGGGTAGCTCAGCAAGCCTTGACTACGCACTGATCCAGGCTGTGAGATGTGTTTAATCTGTTGATGTATCTATTCATTTATCTATGTGTTTAATTCATTTATATAATTGTTTGTTTATGTTTATTTAACTTTTTCCACGTGTCTAAGAATGATTTGTTTGCTTGCGTGCTTGTTTGTTTGCTTGTTTGTTTGTCGATTCGACTATCTGTTTCAATTAGAGACAGGTGCATCAATAGGTTGGGTCATACCTTCAGCAGACTTAGATGCGGAAACAACATGTTTGCTGGTCTTGCTGGGATACAGCCAAACTGAAGCAAGGTGGGGCATCTAGACAGACTCATTCGTTAGATCGTGGAGGCCTCTCAGCCTCAGCTAATCTTGATGACCTGCGCTACAAGAGCATAGCCGCATAGCATTCGATTCCACATAATGACACACCGTGACATACCTTCCTGCTACTCGAGCCACTCTAGAACAGCCCTTGCATCCTGGCAAATGGCATCCAGCTGCATAGCAGCCTGCGAAAGAAAGGTGCTAAATGCTTTCAGATTCATATCATTCCCGTCATTCCAGCACGCAAACGCCGCATAGATCTGAGGTCCATTTTCAGTAGGATGTGAATGACTGGGATGTTCTGTTGTAGATGTACTTGGCTGGATCTGAAAAATTATCCTTGATTTACATCTGTGGTTTGGTCTGTGACGCTCCACTTCGCCTCAGGCATTCGCTGAACTCGCAGATCGTGCACACGCGCAATGTAACGACGGAAGTCTCGATAGCTTACAGCTCCTGGCCGCACATCAGAAAGGATTCAATTAACAATCAGTTCAGTTTCGTTTGTTTCTGTGGCCGATCATGATACGTCGCAGCAACTTCTGTCCGCTGTATCCCATAGCATCTTGCCATATCATTTGCTGTGCCAGCCTAAGTCATGCTGGTCGCAAAAGCTATAGGTGGCAAATGCTGCATCTTTGCCTGCAGCGATGGGAAAGCAGGGGAATCTCCTTGAGTGCTACCCTCCGGCAATCTGACCCCAGATCTCAAATTGTCATGGGGAAATCATTTACAAGCGTGGGATTTTGCAGTATGTACCATGTTTGTTCAGTAGAGGAGCGCTAGACATCCCAATAGTCAAAGCTCAGCCCCGCCTAGACCGAGGCATCTCGAAGCAAAGGCGTGCCAAATGCCGGGCTTCAACTGACCGGTGCCTTCACGGTCCAGCATTGCAAAGAGCAAGAAGTCTGGCAAGAGAAGGCACCTCACAGAAAAGTGGTTCTGTAGGTTCAATCACATTTTCCCTCAGCCCATGCTCTTTACATCTGACTTCGCAAATGATCAAACAGCATCTCACATCCATATGTCTCTGCATCATGCTTTTCCAACAACTGGCTAGTCAGAGCTTGGGTGCCAGGAATGCAGCCCCAGTCAAACAGCCACCGTGAACTGCCATGAAAATCCCATGAATTTCCCATGCCTCTCACCAGCGGCTTGGTGGGGCATAAACAAGTCTTCCCAGCTTGGATAAGCTGGCGCTAAAGGCAGCTGCTGAGGCTGATTACTCTGCAGCCAGCACAGGAAATGCCTTGCAGAAAGTGCGCAGAAGGCCAAGACCACCGGACATCTCCACCAATCACGAGAATCTGCTCCAATTCAGCTTTTTGTAAGTGACTCGCCAGAAGGGTGCCAACCCCAAGAAAATAACGGAGATGGATACAAGAAAACAGAGATGAATGGATACCGTTTGCTATGAACTTTGTCAGGCCTCCTGAAGTCCGCCTCACTAAAGCCAGCTTGCACAGGCAAGCTGAGAACCTCCTGCACAAGAGAAAGGGAAGACCCACCCATCCACTTGTGGAAGGGGTGCCAGCTAGGAAGGCATGGATGACTTGTGATGACTTGTGCTGTGTCAAATATGTTCCATATTTCCTGAACAGTGGAGTGACCCCAACCAAATTTGTGCAAGGGATATCCTGGGTAAGAGGCAGCCCCAAGTGATGTAAAAGAGCTACAACATCTCCCATTGCGACAATGCCGTCACCTGGGCACCAATCGACATCAAGCAATCCGATCAATGCAATGTAGTTTGACCACAGCTCATAATACGCCGTGGTAAAATATGCATGTTTTATCATTTTAGAGGTTATGGTGGGGTGGGGTGGGGTGGGGGGCTAATAACGTCCTGTGTTTGCATTCGCACAGACGCGTCTTCTTTCGGAATCTGCATGTTTCGGATGCTATGTTGATAACATGTCTGCACGCCACGGTTACTACGTTGGTGACATGTCTGCACGCCACGGTTGCTACGTTGGTGACATGTCTGCACGCCACGGTTGCTACGTTGGTGACATGTCTGCACGCCACGGTTGCTATGTTGGTGACATGTCTGCACGCCACGGTTGCTACGTTGGTGACATGTCTGCACGCCACGGTTACTACGTTGGTGACATGTCTGCACGCCACGGTTGCTACGTTGGTGACATGTCTGCACGCCACGGTTGCTACGTTGGTGACATGTCTGCACGCCACGGTTGCTACGTTGGTGACATGTCTGCACGCCACGGTTACTACGTTGGTGACATGTCTGCACGCCACGGTTGCTACGTTGGTGACATGTCTGCACGCCACGGTTACTACGTTGGTGACATGTCTGCACGCCACGGTTGCTACGTTGGTGACATGTCTGCACGCCACGGTTACTACGTTGGTGACATGTCTGCACACCACGGTTGCTACGTTGGTGACATGTCTGCACGCCACGGTTACTACGTTGGTGACATGTCTGCACGCCACGGTTGCTACGTTGGTGACATGTCTGCACGCCACGGTTACTACGTTGGTGACATGTCTGCACGCCACGGTTACTACGTTGGTGACATGTCTGCACGCCACGGTTGGAGACGTGATCCGGAGAGAGGTCTGCAGAGTTGGTTTCGACCAGCGAAACCCGAAACCCGAAACCCGAAACTGTTAAAGTTGGTTTCGATCTGGGAAACCCGAAACCCGAAACCCGAAACCGACTCTGAAGACTTAACTTCCCAAGGACCGATCGAAACCCGAAACCCGAAACCCGAAACCCGAAACCGACTCTGAAGACTTACCTTCCCCAGGGCCGATCGAAACCCGAAACCCGAAACCCGAAACCGACTCTGAAGACTTACCTTCCCCAGGACCGATCGAAACCCGAAACCCGAAACCCGAAACTCTGAAGACTTAACTTCCCCAGGGCCGATCGAAACCCGAAAACCGAAACCCGAAACCGACTCTGAAGACTTACCTTTCCAGGACCGATCGAAACCCGAAACCCGAAACCCGAAACCGACAGCGAAAGTGGGTTTCAATCGACGAAACCCGAAACCCGAAACCCGAAACCGACAGCGAAAGTTGGTTTCAAGCAACGAAACCCGAAACCCGAAACCCGAAACCGACAGCGAAAGTTGGTTTCAATCGACGAAACCCGAAACCCGAAACCCGAAACCCGAAACCGACAGCGAAAGTTGGTTTCAAGCGACGAAACCCGAAACCCGAAACCCGAAACCGACAGCGAAAGTTGGTTTCAATCGACGAAACCCGAAACCCGAAACCCGAAACACGAAACCCGAAACCCGAAACCCGAAACCGACTCGAATCCGACTTTTGGGTGGCTCTCCGGATCGGAACTCCACGGTTGCTACGTTGGTGACATGTCTGCACGCCACGGTTGCTACGTTGGTGACATGTCTGCACGCCACGGTTACTACGTTGGTGACATGTCTGCACGCCACGGTTGCTACGTTGCTAACATGTCTGCACGCCACGGTTGCTACGTTGGTGACATGTCTGCACGCCACGGTTGCTACGTTGGTGACATGTCTGCACGCCACAGTTGCTACGTTGGTGACATGTCTGCACGCCACGGTTGCTACGTTGGTGACATGTCTGCACGCCACGGTTGCTACGTTGGTGACATGTCTGCACGCCACGGTTACTATGTTGGTGACATGTCTGCACGCCACGGTTGCTACGTCGGTGACATGTCTGCACGCCACAGTTACTACGTCGGTGACATGTCTGCACGCCACGGTTGCTACGTTGGTGACATGTCTGCACGCCATGGTTGCTACGTTGGTGACATGTCTGCACGCCACGGTTGCTACGTTGGTGACATGTCTGCACGCCACGGTTGCTACGTTGGTGACATGTCTGCACGCCGCGGCTGCTAGGTTGGTAACATGTCTGCACGCCATGGTTGCTACGTTGGTGACATGTCTGCACGCCACGGTTGCTACGTTGGTGACATGTCTGCACGCCGCAGCTGCTAGGTTGGTGACACGTCTGCACGCCACGGTTGCTACGTTGGTGACATGTCTGCACGCCACGGTTGCTAGGTTGGTGACATGTCTGCAAGCCACGGTTACTGCGTTGGTGACATGTCTGCACGCCACGGTTACTACGTTGGTGACATGTCTGCACGCCACGGTTGCTACGTTGGTGACATGTCTGCACGCCACGGTTGCTACGTTGGTCACATGTCTGCACGCCACGGTTACTACGTTGGTGACATGTCTGCACGCCACGGTTACTACGTTGATAACATGTCTGCACGCCACGGTTGCTACGTTGGTGACATGTCTGCACGCCACGGTTGCTACGTTGGTGACATGTCTGCACGCCACGGTTGCTATGTTGGTGACATGCTGCACGCCACGGTTGCTATGTTGGTGACATGCTGCACGCCACGGTTGCTACGTTGGTGACATGTCTGCACGCCACGGTTACTACGTTGGTGACATGTCTGCACGCCAAGGTTGCTACGTTGGTGACATGTCTGCACGCCGCGGTTGCTACGTTGATAACATGTCTGCACGCCACGGTTGCTAGGTTGGTGACATGTCTGCACGCCACGGTTGCTACGTTGGTAACATGTCTGCACGCCACGGTTGCTACGTTGGTGACATGTCTGCAGCACCACGGTTGCTACGTCGGTGACATGTCTGCACGCCACGGTTACTACGTTGGTGACATGTCTGCACGCCACGGTTGCTACGTTGGTGACATGTCTGCATGCCACGGTTACTACGTTGGTGACACATCTGCACGCCACGGTTACTACGTTGGTGACATGTCTGCACGCCACGGTTACTACGTTGATAACATGTCTGCACGCCACGGTTGCTACGTTGGTGACATGTCTGCACGCCACGGTTGCTACGTTGGTGACATGTCTGCACGCCACGGTTGCTATGTTGGTGACATGCTGCACGCCACGGTTGCTACGTTGGTGACATGTCTGCACGCCACGGTTACTACGTTGGTGACATGTCTGCACGCCAAGGTTGCTACGTTGGTGACATGTCTGCACGCCGCGGTTGCTACGTTGATAACATGTCTGCACGCCACGGTTGCTAGGTTGGTGACATGTCTGCACGCCACGGTTGCTACGTTGGTAACATGTCTGCACGCCACGGTTGCTACGTTGGTGACATGTCTGCACGCCACGGTTGCTACGTTGGTAATGGTGACATGTCTGCACGCCACGGTTGCTACGTTGATAACATGTCTGCACGCCACGGTTGCTAGGTTGGTGACATGTCTGCACGCCACGGTTGCTACGTTGGTGACATGTCTGCACGCCACGGTTACTACGTTGGTGACATGTCTGCCCGCCACGGTTGCTACGTTGGTGACATGTCTGCACGCCACAGTTGCTACGTTGGTGACATGTCTGAATGCCACGGTTACTACGTTGGTGACGTGTCTGCACGCCACGGTTACTACGTCGATGACATGTCTGCACGCCACGGTTACTACGTTGGTGACATGTCTGCACGCCACGGTTGCTACGTTGATAACATGTCTGCACGCCACGGTTGCTACGTCGGTGACATGTCTGCACGCCACGGTTGCTAGGCTGGTGAATGTCTGCACGCCACGGTTACTACGTTGGTGACATGTCTGCACGCCACGGTTGCTACATTGGTGACATATCTGCACGCCACGGTTGCTACGTTGGTGACATGTCTGCACGCCACGGTTGCTACGTTGATAACATGTCTGCACGCCACGGTTGCTTGGTTGGTGACATGTCTGCACGCCACGGTTGCTAGGTTGGTGAATGTCTGCACGCCACGGTTACTACGTTGGTGACATGTCTGCACCCCACGGTTGCTACATTGGTGACATATCTGCACGCCACGGTTGCTACGTTGGTGACATGTCTGCACGCCACGGTTGCTACGTTGATAACATGTCTGCACGCCACGGTTGCTTGGTTGGTGACATGTCTGCACGCCACGGTTGCTAGGTTGGTGAATGTCTGCACGCTACGGTTACTACGTTGGTGACATGTCTGCACGCCACGGTTGCTACATTGGTGACATATCTGCACGCCACGGTTGCTACGTTGGTGACATGTCTGCACGCCACGGTTACTATACGTTGGTGACACATCTGCATGCTACGGATGCTACGTTGGTGACACATCTGCACGGTGCGGATGCTACGTTGGTTGCACGTCTGCACGCCACGGCTTAGCGAAAAAACTTGGGAAACTTGCAAAGACTGTCTTGCGGCATCTAACAAAATTGGGTGAAGATCCGACTAGTTTACTCGCATTGTGCAGAAGAGGAGAAGAAAAAAAATGCACTTTTTGCAAACATTGAACTCACACGACAAGTAGAAACCCATGTAATTGCGATGATTTGAGTGCGACATACACAACACCGAAATGTCATTTTGACTCACGGCGAAATGTGAGCCGTGAACCACGTAGTTTATACACACGGAATGAACTGCAGTTTCTTAGATGGTTGGGACTTTGAGCATCCACTATATTGCTTTTGCATTTGAATCTTTGCCGGAAAAAATGTTCACTTGGCAACAGCTAGCTGCCAACTCTGACAACATGCAGCAAACCCTGAGGCAGAAACCATCTCTATCCAGAACCGAAAATGCCCGGTCCGGCTCCACTCCCGAGGCCAAAACCTGAACTGCCAAGGGATCTGAGTCCATAGTAGCATGTTATGTTGGGAATGATGACATTCCTCTCTTTAGGGAGCACAATCCATGCCCTAAGGCCCTAAGGTTTCATGTGAACTTGAGGCCAGGAGGGGGTACGAAAGCTAGCAGGGCTGGGGTAGGGTGGTAATCGCAAAGGGGGATTAGCAAGGTGAAGTCGGAATGCGGCAACGGTCTCACGTGCTTTTTTGGAGGAGTTACTGCAAGTCGCAAACAGTGCCAATTTTTTGATGTTGATGAGGTTGCAGACCAGAACGATGAAGGAAACTGATGATGACGAAAGTGATGGTAACAGGAATGAGTTGATTACGACAATGATGAGGACGAAGAGGACGAAGACGATGATGAGGATGATGGGTATGATGAGGATGATGAGATATGATGAGGATGCTGAGGATGAGAATGAAGATGAAAATGAGGATGGTGATTATGATGAGCAGAGCTATTGTAGGGTTGCAAAATCTATTGAGTCCAGCAAGCGAAAACCCCCCAATGCAGTAATCGTCTCTCGCCAAGTGTTATAAGCAAAAGAAACGCAATAAATAAAAAAAAATGGAAGCCTGAATCTGCATAAAGATGTTCGAGACAATGCAACATATGTATGATGATGATAAGGATGATGATGAGGATGATGATGTTGTTGGTGATGGTGGTGATGATGATGATGATGATGACGATGATGATCATGATGATGATGATGATGATGATGATGATGATGATGATGTGGATGGTGCGAATGATGGGGATTATGATGATTATGATGTGAGGAGGGGGAAGACCATGATAAGGAGGAGGAGGATGAGGATGGAGATGAGGATGAGGATGAGGATGAGGATGAGGATGATGATGATGATGACGATGATGATGACGATGATGATGATGATGATGATGGTGATGATGATGATGATGATGATGATGATGTGGATGGTGCGAATGATGGGGATGATGATGATGATGATGACGATGACGATGACGAGGATGATGATGATGATGATGATGATGATGATGTGGTGGATGCTGCGGATGATGGGGATGGGGATGATGAGGATGATGAGGATGATGAGGATGATGAGGATGATGAGGATGATGAGGATGATGAGGATGAGGATGAGGACTATGATGATGATGATGATGATGATGATGAGGAGGAGGAGGATGAGGAGGATGAGGATGATGATGATGATGATGATGGTGATGGTGATATGGTGATATGGTGATATGGTGATATGGTGATATGGTGATATGGTGATATGGTGATATGGTGATATGGTGATATGGTGATATGGTGATATGGTGATATGGTGATATGGTGATATGGTGATATGGTGATGGTGATGATGATGAGGAGGAGGAGGATGATCAGGATGATCAGGGTGATCAGGATGATCAGGATGATCAGGATGATCAGGATGATCAGGATGATCAGGATGATCAGGATGATCAGGATGAGGATGATGAGGATGAGGATGATGAGGATGAGGAGGATGAGGAGGGTGAGGACGAAGATGAAGATGAAGATGAAAATGAAAATGAGGATGAGGATGATGACCCTCTACAGCCGGAAATCTCCTCTCAGGGGGCTCGGGGGGGACCAGGGGGATCGAACCTGGGCCTGCCAGAGAGGGGGAAAAAAAAAAGAGGGAGGAGGGGGGTCCAACTGGAAAGCTTCAGGGTTTCCAATGGTCCTGGTGCCTGCCTATTCCTTGCTAAAGCAAGAGAATGAGGGTCAGTCCGACTTCTGCACCCCAAAAACACATGAGGCAACCCAACAGCATGGAACAAGTCAAGTTACCTTGAACTCGCTTGGAAACTGCCAGCTGAAAAGCTTGGACGTGTGCTACCAGTAGCCCAAGTTTTACATGGAAATTGCCTGGCTATACGTTCAGCCAGAAAACGACTTCGAAGAGGCGTTCTCGGACTGCTGATAGCATCTCTTCCAAACCATCAGGCGCTTGTGGTACTGGCCCATACGCTGTGCATGCCAAAGGCCTACTGCAGGACGCTGAGTGCTCGCCTGGCAGTGATATCCTGCCAGAGGCTTCAGCTTCATCTGGGGGAATCGAAGAGAAAGTGTATGCATGCCTGCGACGAAGGTCAGAGTTTGCTAGTGTGAAGAATAAATTTTCGAGTTTGAGGATAATTATATAGTGCTGTGTAGGGTCTTTGAATGTAACTCACAGCTCGTAACAATTGCCACTCACAGTTTCCGACCAGGGACTGTCTTTGTCATTCGTGGCTGGCTGCTTGTGGAGTTACGGGAAGGTGAAACAGATTGTGGCCATGCTCGAATTCTGCCCCCAGTCCTTGACTGCAGAGGCACAGAGCTTCCAAACTCTTGAGGTGGCACTTTGGCAGCAAACCTGGCAGAGACAACTCAGCACGAGAAAAATACATGGATCCCCCTTTCACATGTTCACTTATCTGACTTATCTTTTGCTGCGATGCAATCCCTCAAGCCTCGGCAGAGCTAGAAATGGAGCTAGCTCGCTGTGAGCCAAAGCTGACTCTGAGGAGATTTGCCTCACAAATCAAAGATATGGAGAGTATTATATAAGATCCCATCGCTGCAATGATGCATCACATCAAGCTATCTTCCGATGTTAGGATTGTTGGATCATTTCATTCCATTCATTTATGGAATTAAGTAATTTAAATGTGTATATTATATATATAATGTCTGCGTGTGCCACTAAACAAATCACAACATCACATGAATCACATGATATCCAGAATCTTTCAGCCGTTGCCATCAGACCACAGCTCCCTAAGTTGCCTGGCCTGGCAAAGTCCTCAGCAGCTTCACTTGGAGTGGCTTCATCAGAACGCCCAGATCTGATTTCAAACATCAGCATTAAGCCGTCGATGCCTCAGCTGTAAACAAAAGAAACGCCACGGAGATTCAGAGAGACAAAAAAAGGCGTTGCATTCTGTCGCTCATAGCAACCACAGCTGAGATATCTTAATACTGGTCAGCCATGTTGCTCGCAATGTGTATCCGGCCAGGTGATATCTTCAAAGCAGATGATACAGTCTGGCGGAACAGGTGGCCGAACCACGTAGCGACCTACCAGACATAGGTGGTGAACATGTTGGAACCTCACTTTCTCCAACACACCCTGGCAACATCTGTGAACGGGGTCAATACCGGAATCAAAGTCCGGCAGCGCCTCTCTGTTTGAAAGTGGTGCTGTTAGCTCCACGCAAGCACTGACAGGCGGAGGCGGATCCACATGTGGACCATGTGGATATTGAGGATGGATGTTCTCCGGATCGGTTGGAACCAGCTCCTCTCATGGATCAGGATGCAGCATCAAATGCATCAAAGAATCACGGCTCAGATTAAAATGCTTTGCCGCTTTGCCGCTACGAGACTTTACCAATGTCCAGACACCTGTTGCAGACTGCGGACAAGCAAGTCTTTCTCTGGTGCCACGGTGTCGACAGCGGGGCTTGGGAGTTGCCTTGCAAGGGCAGCAAGAGGCCTTTTTTGTCGCGCTTCCACTGAAAGGAATGAACCATCTGTCAAGCTCGCGGGAATGAAGAGCGGAGCAGGCAGGCAAGGCAACTAGGTTGAATTTGAGAAGATAAAGTCAAAGTACAAATAGAATAACCAGATTGAACGTATGAAGCTAAGCAAGTGGAAGTGTAGTTGCAAAGTTGCAAAGTTGGAAAGGGCAAGAGGGGGGTTGTGGATGACAAGACTTGGAATGAGCTTGAACAAATGCAGACTAAACATTGGAGACAGAGGCACCTTGATGAAACCATCTCGGCACAAACCTTCACTCGAATCACCCCGAAGGTATCTCCAGTGCCAGTGGCTGCAGTGGCTGCGACTGTAAGGTTTTCAGATGTGACTTCGACACCTGAGAGTGACTCAAGTGACTCAAGTGGTTTTTGTCAAAGCAAAGGAATGGCACCATCAGTTGATCACAAAGTTTGAACCCCATCAGGCCCCGGCAAGGCCGACCTGGAATGCTGAGACCTGCCATGTCCTTCTTTGTGAGCACTGGGACAGGGAGACCTCCCAGGAGCAAAAATGATTAAAGATGGAGTTAAAGATGATCAGAGATGCACAAGTGGTCAAGAAGCACAAGACAGCAGAAAGATGCACAAAGCCAACGCCTGCAAGGCCAAGCAGCTCCTGCCCTCTCCAAACTTGGAGGAAGAGTTTCTCCTCAACCAAAGATGAGAGCCGACACATCAGGGGCGAGCATAGCACTTTCAATGTGTCTCCCCCATACTCCATAGGTGCGACCGGATGTACAGCAGATGCTTGTCCAAACTGCCAATCCAAAAAGGATAGAAAAGGATGAAGTAAAGTAAAAGGTGGTCAAGCTCAAATGCTACCTGGAGCATGGATTATCTCTCCAACTTTTTGACATACAGAGCTCCCCCTTGAATAATAATTCGTTTTTGGGCCGAAGCTCAGGAACAGGGCCAGAAACCAGAATCTGTCGATCCACATCAACACCTTAGTGCACACAGCGAATGGACAATCCTCTGCCATGTTGTGCAAAGTCTTCGGCTGATCTGAAACCTCAAATGGCTTCCAAGTCGCGAGCAAGTATTAAACCTAGATGATACCTCCTATGCGCCAGATCATTGAAAAGATACTCAAAAAATACGTTTATCACATGTAGGTATGTACTCTCCATCGCCTTTTCAAGGAGTTCAGAACATACATACATTATCATACTCACGCTCTTATGTTTTACCAACAGAACCGACATACTCCACAAATGGAAGACATACTGTAGCACTGTAGTGGGCCGAGGCGCGCCAACAAGGCTCTTCCGCGACGGCGCTGAGAGCGATTGGGGCAACCAGCTCCCCACCTTCGACCTTAGCAAAGAAAAAGTGCTTCGATCTGCTGAGACAAAGGCAAAAGAGTACATGCGAAGATACCCAGGGCTTAGGGCCTACAAACGCAGACCAAGATTCTGACATATTCCAACCAAATTCCCGGAGAATCAAACACAATACGCTCAATGGAGCACTGCTGTCATGTCACGTATTGGCCTTCTTTGGCCAGGTGCGCCACGATCTCTTGGTCACGCCCAAGCTTCGCTACGATGTACACAGCTTCCAATGCAGTTGGCAAAGATTGTGAGAAACGAAAATTCTCCAGCCAAACCTTGCCAAAGCAAGAGTGTCGTGAATGTAGCCACAACAAAACATATCCGCAGGGATCCAGCCTTCAAGTGAATGGGGCTTGTGTCCAAAAGCGCGTCGCCGCCGATCTCTGCATTCCTTACAGTCACCTCAGCTAGAGTCAAAAGGAATCATGCAGCCACTGCACGCTCTAAAAATCTGAATCATCCTACAATGATGGGCCCTACCAGGATCATGACTGGGTTTGAGGCTTGATTGATCTTGATTGATCTTGATTGATCTTGATTGATCTTGATTGATCTTGATTGATCTTGATTGAAGCCGCAGATAGCCCATGATAACCTTAGACCCTAGTGACCTAGTGATCATCACTACTTTTCGATACTTTTGGGAGTTTGCACACGGAGAATCTGTGCATCGCACCAGGACGCAGCCCACGACGGCAGGACGCTCGTGCGGACCCGCAGCTGCCAAGAGGGACACCCGGACCGGGCCACGGCGCATGGCCTCCTGGAGGCGACTTCAGAGGCAAAACCCGAACGAAGTCCTTTCGCTTTTATTTGGAGCTACAAGCGTAGAGGAAATGCAAAAATGGAAACTCCAAAGAAAGAGGGCTAGAGAGAGAGAGAGAGAGTGAGAGTGCCGCATGACATATCTTCTACTCCAGGCGGGAACATCTGCTGATAACCCTTGCGGCAGTCTTCCCAAAGGAGCCAAGGAATTTCTCCACTTGCGACTGGCACGAAGGATTCGGCGTCTGGCGTCCTGTCGCTCAACACACAAGGAACAAGCAAAAGCTGCCATAAGCCGGTCCAGATTGGCAATCCTACAAACAATACGAACCAAAAGAATGGTGCTCAAGTGCAAAGCTATACAGGATCCTCATCCCATCTAGTTGTCCAGTCAATAGCCCGCGCTGGTCCCCTGAAAAATAGTTTTTCCTATTGTACACCATGTTTTCTTTCATCCCACAGACACAAACCAAAAAGAAGAAGAAGAAGAATGAAGAAAGGAGTTGATGGTCGAGGTCCAACTTTCAAGGAAAATCAAGATCTTCTGGACTAGTATGCTCAGCCAAGCTGCTGTGGGCAATCTGTCCCATGCGAGGCCAGGAGCTGCAGAACTGGCTGCTCGGCAAGGGTGGTATTGACCAAATGCAGGGATGAATGGCCACAGTGTAGCATGCTGAGAGAGCTCCCTGGCCTGACCGGAGGGATGGTCTATCCTGAGGTATTCCCAACTGGGAACCTAAAAGTTTAAAGGCTCAAAAGACTCGGAATGATTTAAGGTCCCCGAAGCTCCCCCCATTTTTGGTGTCAGAATTGGTATGTGAAGGGTAGGTTGACAGATGGTCTGCACGTTGACCAAATTGTGAAGTTGGACTGAAAACAGCATACTGTTAGGCCGTGTTATGCCATAGGCTTGTCCTACACGATGCCTCCCTTTCTCGCATGGCGCCACCACGACCTCTTGAGTAACTGTCCCACTTTCCAGGCGTGGGATGATGCAGCGCAGCAACAGCTGGATGCGTTTGGCCATGCTAGCGGCCTCAGTAAACCACGACGCCTGCTAAGTGGATGAAGTATGAATAAGTATGACTCAGTATGACTCACTAAGTCACTAAGTATATCCAAATCTAAGTATGATAAAGATTGATAAAGTAGTGAATTGTGGAAAGCGATGCTGCATCATTTGCACATGTGTTTCCCTTGGCTTCCCACGAAACTGGGCGCTAGCTCCACTGCCTCCAACGTCAGGTTCATTCGCTTCTGCCGACCGGCACCTGGCGCTTCCAGCACCGAACTGGGCATTCAGCAGGCTAATCGGCTAATCGGCTAACTAGCGGCTAATCTTTGCATTGAGAATTGCTTCCACGATGCGCCAACACAGTGCCTCCAGGTTGAGGAAGAACATCCGAGGAACTTGTTCGTGGTTCCGGTGCCGAAATTGGTGCTGTCTCCATGCCGCTCCTCATGGTTTTCTCCTCATGGAAACGGTCTGGCAAAAAAGCTGCCATGACACCAAGGTGTCTCCATTAAAATTGTGTAGAAGCAAGTGAAGCTTGAGAGACGGCAACCTGAGGGTTTGACACAAGCGGCTGCAGGAGCATCTCCATGGCCGGCCCGCAAGGGGTCAGCTGCATCAATTAGCTCCAAGCTCGCCGCTGCAACTCCACTTAGATCCGCACGATCCAAGTAACTCTCGACTCCCTGCGGAGACATGTGTGCAACAACAATGTGCTCCAAATGAAGCTTTGGGAAGAATCATTGCAGAAACACAGAATCCATGACCTGCACCTCACCCCGCACACGGCGGTCTAGCTGCGCTCGCAAAGAGCGCGCTCGTTTGGCAAGCTCCTCCAGGCCTCAGCATCCGACATCCGACAGCATCCGACAGCATCGACAGCGTCGCAGGTTTCTCAGCGCTGCCAAGGCGCGACTGGCACGGCCACTGTCACTGCCATCCGCCATAGGAGCCCCATGTCACGCTTAGGACCACTTGGGCAAACGACAATGCGGTTCTATCAGTTCTATCATGTTCTATCACTTAAGCTAAAGCTGCACCACTGATAAACCTGTCCAAAACGAACTCATCGAATTTTATCGGCTCAAATCGAATCATAATCTAATCCCTGCATAAATAGACCTAATCTGATCTACTGTATATAAGTCTACTCAAATAATGTCTGGCTATCTTGCTGTCTTGGTTGCTTGTACTGGCCTCAGCTAGACATAGCCATACATTCGTTTGTACATGTCTACGTTCCTTTCTCTTGAAGCTCGACACTGCAGCAGTTGGAATGAAGGAAGGAAAGTGCAACTTGCGTGCGACGGCATAGAGAGAACGAGCGCGCGAGAGACTCTCTGTGAATTCTTATCCTTCCCACAGGACTACCTGCAACACACAAACGACCCTAGCCTTTGCTTCAAATTGTTCAAAAGATTCAAGAGTGACTGGAAAATGGTTCCCTTTTGCAACCCGGTTCCACCACAATGTGCACGTGCTGTTGAAACACACGGCATGCCAGCCTTCGCTTGTTGACCTCGTGCAAGAGACAAAACTGCTTGATTCACCAACAACTCACAATAATGGCCTGTAGGGCATGTAGGAGCATAGCACTCAAAGCAAGATCCCATCAAGGAAAGAAGGAGAAGACAGTGCAAAAGACTGAAAAGACTTGATGTTGATTGGTTTGATTGGTTTGATTGGTTTAATTGAGATGACGCAGTGTTCTATAGATCTGGGAACAGCAGAAGAAACGAGCTCAGCTCGTGGAACGTCGTGGAACGTCGTGGAATGCTTGGGCTACAGCTGTCTTCAGGCTCGCCATCTCGAGGTCCCTGGTAGACATGACCCTCGTTTGAATGTGCCGAACCCAAGAAGTCCTGCTTTCAAACTGGACGGAGTGTACAAAATTCTCAAGAATGTCCGTCTCAGAACCCGACACTGAATGGCAGCCAACCTTGATGAAGCATTCCAGTTGATAGTTTTTTAAAAATGTGAGACCATATGTGCTAGAGCGCTCCCAAAATAGTACAAATGACAAGCCACAACCCCACCAAAACCAGTTCAATAAGCAGGAAACGCAGTAAAACAAGCCTTTGAATTTCTGAATAACGGACAGGACTAGCTGGTGGTGATGTCACCCTCGACCAGAAATAGACTTCCCTTGGACTATTCTGATCTGTACCATACCGCCCAAGCACATGACAAGCAGGGAAAGCAAACGGACTTATTCAGCATGCCAGTCCCCAAGAGGCTGGAAAAGCATCTTTATGCCATACACTGGATCTATCTGAACCTGCAATCTGTAGCCACGTGAGCCTGACTACTAGCTAATCGGCTACTCCGAATATTCTGAATATAAAGTAGCTTGAAGCACAGCAAAACGCTCAGAATTCGCGAGGGGCTGTTGCTCGCTGTAAGATGTCAGTCTTGGCTCCGAGCTCATTTGAGTGCAGAAAGCTCATCCAACTTCCATAGCAGGAAGGGCTGCAGTGCTGGCGCTGGTGGCAGCCTTGTTTTCAAGAAATTAAGGTCACAAAAAATGGCAGTAGGATGCAGTAGGAGCTATATTGCGGAAGCTGAGTCTTATCTGTTGCAGGTTGCTCGTGGGACGAGGGAATACATGGGGCTGCCGTCTTGAACATTACTGCTTGATGAATACAGTTGCAAGCGCTTGCGAGTCAAGTTCAACCGGATGAAAGCATGCCAAATCATGATATCACGATGAATATGGAACAGTAACAGTGACTAGCAGCTTCCATACTCTTTGTGCTTGGCAACCTCTAGTGTATTCAGGTTAGCTGTGACATTGCCTGTGTTTTGGAATAAGAACCACGCATTCTGGGAAACATATCATGAAGCTGCACGATCGTTTTCCACAACATCGCTGGATGGCAAACGGCAGTGGTGACCATCAAGCACCTTTGGTGCAAGAAAGAGGTGCGGGGCTGACAGGCTGGCACAAAAGATAGAAATAGACGCCTCAAGACAGAATCATTTTTTTGTACATTATACTTATCCATGCCAGAAGACGAGGCCGCGAGTGGGCAAGATCCTAAAGTCAGCACATGCTTCTCAAGCACGAATTCAAAGCAAGGAGCCAATTGACTCTCTCAATCAGGATAACAATCAACGGTCTTGGGTAAAATCTAAATGCAGTCCGGCGCAACACATTGGCTGCCAATTCTGCAGCTGCCTTTTCTTCACTCATTTATGATCCTCAGAGCAAGGGATTCGCTCCCCAACAATTTACGACCTGGAGCCTTTGGCCTATGTCCTATGTCGACTATTTCGTGGGCGTGGGATGTCACTGCACTGGCACACCAGTAGGTTCTATACATGTAACAAACATGTTGTTCCACTCAAGCGAGTTCGCACAATTCCTTCGGCTTTGATCTTGAAGGGTGCCCCGGGTGGTTTCACAGCGTGCTTCGTGCTGAAAATCCATTGAGCACGCTGCGACCGACCTCACCAACTCGAAGTCGCCAAGGTCAACAACTGTCCAGGATGGGTGCGGCGAAGGCACATGTAGCTTCTGTACCAAAAGAGTCTTTTCTCTGTACGTTTGACCCAATTTCTGCGACCCAAGCACTTCGACCCAAGCACTAAATGTCATTGACAGTGCTGCATCATCATCATCATCATCATCATCATCGTCATCATCGTCATCATCATCATCATCATCAAATGTGAGCCATGTTGCATTTCATGATGTCATTTAAGCTGCTAAACTAGCATCAGAACCATCCACAAAAGGAGCTTAAACATGAAACACTCGTCCCTAGACACTTAGTCACATGGTGGGGAATTCAGAAACCATTTGACGAGTGCTTTTCCATGACATTTTCCGCTGCACCTGTTCTGGTTCTCCTCTCCCACGTCTCGCTGGGCTCCTCAGGGTGCTTCGATATGGAAGTGCTGTATCTTCATGGGTAGTACTGAACCCATAAGGACTCGGAGCGTATAAATTTCTTTGGAGATAAAACTATGTTCAGCGCTATTCAGCACTTCACTGCAACTGATTTTACATCGCCTTTCCGTCTTCCGCCCTCGCGCCTCTGCCCGGGCAGGACCAGGAGCTACCAAACCTAGGCGGTTCATCAGCGTGCATCGGGGCGAACGGGCTTGCGACGCCGCGCGTGCCTTGCGACTAGGGTTAGGACTGTACATTCCTCCAGCTGCGCTGCCAAGCAGCCAGGCCCTCAGCGCCAGCAGAACTCGATTCCATCATACTTTCACAATAAACCCTTGTGTGGGGATGAGGATCAGGCTACAGCATGGAACAGCAACCAAAGTTTAAGTCTCCACAGTAGACCAAGAACTAAAAGGATCTGGATCGTCAGCCGAGGCCTCTACACATCTGATGCCACTTTGCCTGTGCTTGCTGACACGCCTTCAATCCTGAGCAAACAATGTCAGTTTAGCACATATCTCCCCTCTATGCCTGGCCATGGCAAACAAAGAGCTGCGTCCCATTCAATGTGGATACTGATGGACATGTCCAAGCAGGACCTGTGGCAAAAGCTTGGGCAGCTGCACACCAGCTGCTGATGCAGTAGTTCCTGCTAGCTGGTTGACCTGAAGTTTCCAAAAAAGAGACAACTTCTGGACCAAATGCCACTTCGAAGGACGTTTCCAGATTGGGTCTGAGGTTCCCACCCATGGCGGCAATGGTGACACACCGAGTCTGCGGCAAAGCTCCTGAGGTACCAGACTAGTTTGCTGGTCTGTGATCTCTTTAGGCCTGTAGGGTGAAAAGTGGAAATCCAATTCGCGACGTTGGCGAACTACTCGGACTATAGTATAGATTGCGCCGGCTTGGGCGAAAGTTGGCGGTCGAAACGATGACTCAAGTGTCCGCCCGTGGCACCAAACAAAGAGCAGGTGCCAAAATGCGCGCAAAAGGAAGTTCGTGTTTTTGTGCCAAATTGTATAGTGATCAGCAAGGGGATGTAAAAAAAAATGCAGAGCCTATGCACTCAGGCCTGAGAGAGAGAGAGGTAAATAAAGCAAGAACGAAGGACGACCAAGTCCTAAAGCTGCGGAGGGAAATGTCCAAGCTAAGCCCCTGACATCTGAAAAATGATGGCAATTGCGGGTAAGTACCTCCACGAAGCAGAACAAAAAAAACTCCCAAGGATTCTCTTGAGATTCTCTTGTGGCCCTGGCTTACATGGCCAACATCTTGCCATAGACATTCAGAGGTGTCGACAACTGTCTCGTCAAGCAAAATTTGGGGTGCATCATAGGTGCGACCTTTCCATTCTGCCGTCATTTCTTTGATGATCTCAGCCACCTAGGCAAAAGAAGGCGACAAAGCTTGCAACCACTTGTAAGACTTTGGGGTTTAGTATGCATGTATGCATGTATGCATGTATGCATGTATGCATGCATGCATGTATGTACGTACGTATGTACGTATGCATGTATGCATGTATGCATGTACGTACGTACGTACGTACGTACGCATGTATGCATGTATGCATGTATGCATGTATGCATGTATGCATGTATGCATGTATGCATGTATGCATGTATGCATGTATGCATGTATGCATGTATGCATGTATGCATGTACGTACGTACGTATGTATGGTAGGTAGGTAGGTAGGTAGGTAGGTAGGTAGGTAGGTTAGGTAGGTAGGGTAGGTAGGTAGGTATGTATGTATGTATGTATGTGCGTCTGTGTGTGTTTGTGCGTCTGTGTGTTGTGTGTGTGCGTATTTTCACTCATGAAAGAACTACGCTACCATCTGGGGAGCCTCATGCCTCTTCAATTCCCAATGTGATGGATTCTTTGGATTTCTGCTCTCGCTGTGCTTCAATATGTTATGGGTGCGCTGCATCGAATTGTCTTTCTGCTCACAAGTTTGCCACACCAAACTGCTGCAAGTGTATTGCATTTGCACAAGTGAAAATGCGATTGCAGAGTTTGACAAATCAGAATGTACACAGCTCAGCGAATGCGGCAACCCCCTGGCCTGTCCCTGGGAGAGATTGGTAAAGCCTAGGAACAGAGTTGAGAACTTGGGCACAGGCAATCGAGGGCACAGTGCAAAACCATGTTTGAATCGAAGGCTTGAAAATTCCGGTATCTACCAGAATCTACCAGCATGGCAGGATCAACAAGCCGCCCACCCATCGACAAGGTCTCTCTGAACGAATGATCCGGATGATGACCAGGCCTTAGCAGTTGAGTCTTAATGGATTTGGCTATGGAGCATCATTGGAGGCCCCAGAAGCCACATATGGACTGATCATTTTTGGTGTCTCCCTGAGCCCTGGGCACATTTGCCGCAACTCCAGTAGACCAGCTATCTGATGTCATGCCAAATGACCTGAAAACCACGACGCAAGGCAACGAGAAATACGGAGAACGCAACAGGTGGAGGGATCCAGGTCCAAGGTCACGCCAGTAGACCGGACATTCCCCCGATGACACACTCATAGATGTGGAGTATATGTGTATATATATATATGTGTGTGTGTGTGTGTTTGTATATAACTATATAACTATGTGTAAATATAAATAATATGATAATATGTATCTGTATATGTATATATCGCTTGTGGAGGTCTGCATATATGTGCACAGTGCATCCATGTGTCCAAATGCATGTGCCATTTTTTTAATGAAAAGACTCACAAGCAAACACCAGCAGTTAGACTCTACAGGAGGCGGACCCGCTTTCAGCACGTGGGGAGTTTGGGACAGCTCAAGTGGAGACAAGTGGGATAGCCACAAGATGCAGACAAGGGGACACAAAGCCAGAAGGTTCCCAAGTCCCCAACAAATCAATGCCAAAAAGAAACAAGGTCTGACTTCACAAAATCTTGACGCACAAGTCTCAATTAGTTTCATATCGACTTTCAACCCAGCCCGACACGCCCTCTGATCCCTCTGCGCAGATGTCAAACACAAAATGAGTTCGTTGCCACTCCATGCCATAGACTTCCACTCCAGAATGGAAAGCTCCATAATCTTTTGCCACCCTCAGCAAGCGCAAAGAATTCATCAATCTCAGACTCAGATGTTCAGAGATGGAAATATCAACTGGTTTGGCGTTGCTAAGTGTGCGACATATTTGGCCACCGTGTTAAGAAGGTTTTTCCCAAATCATAGACACGAACCTTCAACGACCACTTTCAACCGCCCGTGTGGCAAAGAATCTTGCCAGAATGTCTAGCGTTTGGATTCGAACAAATGATGCGAATCCAGCTTCCAACATCTTGCTGGTGAAACAGGGTTAAAAGCTCCTGAATCAGGCCGCCGATGAAATTGCATTGAGAACAACCAAGTGACGAAAACTCTTTCCGCTTGTGGACGACCGGGCCTTGTGCAGGAAAAGCCGAGCAATTGACGGCATGGACATGCAAATAGTCAGCTGATGTTCTGAATATCAAATCGATCTAATCTGACTATGCATATCTATGCATTATGTGGTTTTAGTTGCCGCTGCTAGTTGACGCATTCCTTCTTGCAAAGCTGCTCAGATCGGAGCTCCACACGCTATTTCACATTATCGACATTACATTTTACTCCCTCCAACATCCTTGATTTTGCGCACACTGCTGCAAAACGTTCTGTCACCAGGGTTCACACAAAGTAGCCACCTGGCATTCAAGTCGACTGAAGGAAGCCTTCAGTTTCATTGGCCTGGTGCCTTCAAAAATCCTGGCCACCTAGCCTGCAAGGACCGCGCCAATGTCGGACTGGCTTCGTACTGGGGCCTAACATGTCAGATAAATTGAATGGTAAACTGATCTGTTCCACCCAGCATCGAACCAAGATTCAGACGATGGCGGACCTAGGAAACATCACAATGATGCGCGGTTATTGTGCGCAATGACTGCAAACATAGGGCCTGTTTGCGCAAATGAACCGTTTCCGATGTTTACATGCGTTTTTCATCGCTTTTCTTTTCCCTTCCTGCCTGCTTTCCTTTACCCTGCCGTGCCCAGCTCTACCTTTCCCTTCTTGGTTTCTCTAATTTCTGTCCTTCCTCCTTTTTTCTGACCTACCTTCTTACCTAGCTAGCCGGCTCTTCCCACAGCCCTTCCACACCTTCGGAATTCTGGGTTAATGCATCTGTAGACCAACATGCGTGCGCATACGAACGGTATACGGTATAGTCTAGTTGTTTATCTAAAAAACGCAAACTTATATCCCAAGATTTGTTTTTTTTTTTTCATGTGGTGTTTTGCAGCAAAACATGGTCAACTGCAGTACAAGTACATGTGTGCAGCAATCTCAACGGCTATGAATCGGGTGTCATGGGCGCATGCCTTCGTAGGTGCATGCCTGAATGTGCAGTACATATGTTCGCTATATCATGTATATCGGCGCACTGGAAACCTGAGAGCCCTGCTGGGAATGGAAGGGTTACTCGTTCTCACTGGCCGACCCGGCCGCCTGACCCCCAGGTCCAACTGCACATTCAAATTTGAAGATGCAAAACATGCATGTGAAAGCCAGCAACATGGCTTGCCAGTGCCTTTTATTCCCGAGTTGAGCAACATATGCAGCCTGGGGTCATCTGGAATGCGTTTGAGTTTATGCCTCCCGAAAAAGATGGGAATCATTTGACATCGTCAAGCAAAGGGTGCCTCTTCATCCTCTGGCCCCTCCACCAGCCAATGGAGCCAACCTCGTGCGTTTTTTCCAACGTACTGCTCTGGAGAATTGCAATTGGGTAAACTTGGCTTGGGACTCATCCGCGGAACGTTGGAACCGGATGCGCCAAACGCGATTGTTCACGTTGGACACAATGATGGAAACAAATCGACATGTCGATACGAATATTTTAATCCAATCATAACAAACCAAGAAACCATGTCAAAAATCATGCCAACAACAAAATGTTTCACAAACCAATACTCCTCGTAATGCAGCCAAAACAATTCACGGTTGATAATTGATTGTTTCGCTGGTTGATTGCGTCACCATGTTTCCGTGCTTTGGCTCGGTACGGCGGTGGACATTCTGTTCAATTGCATCATTTTTTTGTTGCCATCAGCATCACCCACCCCTAGGTTACCAATCTACGTCATGCATCATCATCAATCCCCCCCATTGTTTCCTCAACCTTGACCAAATCAAAATTATATAAAATGTTTAATTTGGAAAATGTTGTGTGTGTGACGCATTTCATCAACGATTGCCCAAACCATTTGTTTCCCCCTACACATGCGCAATGCGATGAAATGACGATGCTGACATGTTGACTTCATGGGCCGGCTGAACGCTAACATGTGGGTAATGAGTGGCATTGTAATCATTGTGTGATTTCATACGGGTCCAAACAAGACATAACCTCCATGTTTGCCAAGAAAAACCAAAGATTGGTGGAAAAATTCAAAGTGCAGAGACTGCAATTCAACAACGGGTTGCGGGCGTGCGAAACGGTGATTCAGAAATTCGCACGAGAACAGATTCAAAGTGGCAATTTCAATTGTATTTGCGGTTGTACTTATAGTGTTTGTTGTTGTTGTTGTTGTCGTTTTTTTTTCTTTTTGTTTTTTTTGTTTTTCTTTGTTTGTTTGTTTTTTTTGTTTTTGTTTTTTTCTTAGTTGTTTTTTCCTGTTGTTGCCGTTGTCGTTGTTGCTGCTGTCGTAGTTGTTGTTTTTGGTTGTTGTTGGTTGTTGTTTGCGGTTTTGGTGGTTGTTGGCGGTTGGTGGTGATTGTTGGTGGTTGTTGGTGGTTGTTTGTGTTTGCTGTTGTTGTTGTTGTTGATGTTGATGTTGATGTTGTTGTTGTTGTTGTTGCTGTTGTTGTTGTTGTTTATGATTGTGATGATGATGATGATGATGATAATTATCAACATCATCATCACCATCACCGTCACCGTCATAGGATGAGGATGATGATGACAATTTTGATGGTGATATACATGGATTTTTTTCACCCACAAAGTTTTGCGCAGAATTTGTCACACACAAGAGTTTTGACGTGAAAAACAAATGTACAAAAACTTTACACACAAACGGCTTTACACAAAAGTTTCTCTACAGGCGATTTTACAGACAAAACACAGAAACATAGTTTTACGGAGAGATGTTTCTGCAAATACAAGTTTTGACATGTATGCAAATGTCCCTACACTACACGGTTACAGATGGTTTTGCACACAGCAAGTTCTGCCACACATTTTTTTTACACACAGATGTTTGGCATGCAAATGTTTTTACACAGAACAATTTTTACAAACAGATATTTTTTTTCAGCACAACAGATTTTTACACGCAGATGCTTTGATGGGCATATTTGTTTTTGGCAAACAAAAGTCTATACACACAAACGTTTTGCACCCAGGCGCCTTTACAGACGGATTGGTTTTGCATGGTTTTGCATGCAGAAAGCTTGGACACCCAGATGTTCGTGCACACACATGTTTTAACACAAAAAAATCCACGCAAAACTTTTTACACATAGATGTTTGCTTTTACACACTTTTCCGCACAAAGAAGACCAAGGGTGTGTTCACACTCAAATGTTTTTGCTTTACACACGAACAGTTCACATAAGAATTCTTCCAGCACAAGTTCTCATTTATTCGCGCTCGACGCGATCTTCGTGGGGAAGGGTTCGCCGAGCACAAGCCACATCACACATTTATCTCAATTTGCGATGGTTGGCACACGTTTCATCAACACCGGTTTGAACTGCAATAGCTTCAAGTAGGTCTCATAACCAAAAATAAATTTGAATATACATAAAAATATGGCATCCTACGCTATATGTACATATATGCATACATTTGTTTGTTTAGTTATTTTGCATTGATATTCAAAATATTTCCATCTATGCTTATTCAGAGTGAAATACAAACATGTTTATATACATATATATATATACATATACGCGCATGTAAACACAAACACAAATACACATTTATACATACATACATGGAAACACATAAACATAAAGAAAATATACATATATACATCTGTACATATTGAAACCTGTATACATATAAACGAATACACATATATATATTATATATATACATTTATACAAATACATCCGTACATATCAACATATTTACATATATGCATACGAACATAAATACATCTGTACATATAAGAACATTTGAACAGATTTACATACATACATACATACATATATATATATATTTACATCTGTGCCTAAACAATATTTACATTTACACATTTATAGATACATACACCTGTACATCAAAACATTTATACATATATACGAATATACATCTATACATCTATACATATATACGCATATTGTATACATATATATAAAGGCAAATATACATAAACACATATTTGCAGATATACATACACATATACAAGTATACATATATACATACATACCTATTTACCCATAGACCGATATTTACATATTTACATATTTACATATTTACATATTTACATATTTACATATTTACATATTTACATATTTACATGTATACATATATACATATTTACATGTATTTGTAGCTACCTATTTCCCTTTATACCGACCTGTACATTTTTACATATTTATATATGTATATACATATATACAGATATATATATATATATGTATACACATACATGTATATATAATATAATATAATATAATATAATATAATATAATATAATATATACATAAAACATTTTTACATATTTGCAAATATATATATATATATATACATATTTATACATATATACATGTACACATATATACATATACACATATATACACGTATACATGCATACAAATTTGCATTTTACATATTTACATAATTACGTGTTTACATAAATACGTATCTACATTTACATATAAATACATTTTTTTACATGTCTATATATTTATTCCCGAATGCGTAGCAAGGGTTCCCATTTCACTCTGGGGGTCTCGGGGTTGACGGTGTGTTCGCTCGACGGCGTGCAACCGTTCGCAACATTTCGCAACCGTTCGCAACCGTCCGCGCAAGGTCGCTTTTGCCGTGCCTATGATAAGTTCTGCAAAAGGGGTCCCTTTTGGAGGTTTCAAACGTCGCGTTGCTTCGTTTCGCGTGGCAGGCGTAGCACTTCGTGACATTCAAACGTGTCTTGTAACGTGTCGAAAGTCGTTTTGTGTGGCAAGCACAATACTTTTGCGCCGTCGCGTGTGAGAGGCAGGGGTTGCGTGACCCCTTGAGACAAAATGGTTCGAGCCAAAACGGTGTGTGAGATTCGAAAGCAATGATGATATCGCAGTGCCTGACCTTCAATGACAGCAGCTGCTACTGCCCCGGCTCCTTCAATCTTGTCTTGTACATATCAACATATTTACATATATGCATACGAACATAAATACATCTGTACATATAAGAACATTTGAACAGATTTACATACATACATACATACATACATTTATATATATATTTACATCTGTGCCTAAACAATATTTACATTTACACATTTATAGATACATACACCTGTACATCAAAACATTTATACATATATACGAATATACATCTATACATCTATACATATATACGCATATTGTATACATATATATAAAGGCAAATATACATAAACACATATTTTCAGATATACATACACATATACAAGTATACATATATACATACATACCTATTTACCCATAGACCGATATTTACATATTTACATATTTACATATATACATATATACATATTTACATGTATTTGTAGCTACCTATTTCCCTTTATACCGATCTGTACATTTTTACATATTTATATATGTATATACATATATACAGATCTATACATATATACAGATATATATATATACATATACACATACATGTATATATAATATAATATAATATAATATAATATAATATAATATAATATAATATAATATATACATAAAACATTTTTACATATTTGAAAATATATATATATATATACATATTTATACATATATACATGTACACATATATACATATACACATATATACACGTATACATGTATACAAATTTGCATTTTACATATTTACATAATTACGTATTTACATAAATACGTATCTACATTTACATATAAATACACTTTTTTACATGTCTATATATTTATTCCCGAATGCGTAGCAAGGGTTCCCATTTCACTCTGGGGGTCTCCGGGTTGACGGTGTGTTCGCTCGACGGCGTGCAACCGTTCGCAACATTTCGCAACCGTTCGCAACCGTCCGCGCAAGGTCGCTTTTGCCGTGCCTATGATAAGTTCTGCAAAAGGGGTCCCTTTTGGAGGTTTCAAACGTCGCGTTGCTTCGTTTCGCGTGGCAGGCGTGTCTTGTAACGTGTCGAAAGTCGTTTTGTGTGGCAAGCACAATACTTTTGCGCCGTCGCGTGTAAGAGGCAGGGGTTGAGTGACCCCTTGAGACAAAATGGTTCGAGCCAAAACGGTGTGTGAGATTCGAAAGCAATGATGATATCGCAGTGCCTGGGTTTCAATGACAGCAGCTGCTACTGCCCCGGCTCCTTCAATCTTGTCTTGTGGTCTCACGTTGTCAGCGCTGTCTTCGCTTTCATTGTAAGCAGCGCAAGGGTGGACAATAGAATCGCCTAACTTAATCAGCACATGCAAGTGGACATGACGGGGGCTGTTAGCTATTTCTGTTTGATTGTTTGTTTCGCTTCTGCGTAGCGAGGTGTTATTTGGTCTGGTGGTTGTCTTCGCTCGATATGTGGAATTGCATCCGGACAGTTTATGGACGTGTCGCATTTACACGTTCATATTGGTCGGAAATTTGCGACTTGACAAGATATTTTTGTCAGATGGGTTGGACTATGGCGCGGC